ACTTCCCCCTCCCCCCTCCATCCCCCCCATCCCATCCCAGCTCACACACACACACACACACACACACACACTCATCCACTCACGTATTCCCAAAGAATCCATCCCTGCCGCCGATCCCTCCAACTGATCCCCTTCCCCCCTTTCATACCTGGAGGATCAATCATATCATATCATCTTCATGCGACCCAAACCTGCAGTCCAGGATTGACGATTTGATTGCCTGTCCATGACATGTAACCGAAAGCTACCTCGCCTTACACACCCACGAGCCGAGCTACCGTGGTCGGTCGGTCGTCGTATGCAAGTGACACATCCCTCCGCGCCCGCGGTTGGTGACCATGAACTTGTCCTTGTCCATCCATTCTCTAGTTCCATGTCCCGCCTTGGAGGTGATTGGACCGATCAGAATCAAACTATCGGAAACAGCCGGGACGTTGTCCGGGGCCGGTGTCCGGCATGCTTTTACCGTAGGTGTGTACATAGGTATTGACCTAATTCTACGTACTGTATCTACCTACCTCAACACTCACTTGCTCGTCCACCGCATCGCCGTTGACTTGACAATATGGCCTGCTCATTGATGTCCACTGCTACGAGGTGGAGTGCCCGCACTGACGGCCATCCGGGGAAGAAGAGGATGAATCCGGGGATACCTACCTACCTACCTACCTACCTAGAGGTACTTACCTACCTACCTACCTTACCTACTAACCTACTGACTATGTGCCCAGCCCAGTGCCACATGGCTTAGGTTCGTACTGTCAGCTGCGAATTGAATGGGTCGGTGTTGAATAAGACATGGAAAGCTAGGTAGGTGTGCAACCGCCTCACCATCAACACTTGACCTCCACTCTTGCTCCTTCTCTGTTCAAGTCGCTGCCAGGCACTGTCTCACTTCAGGCATCAAATCTTTGACATTTTTTATTCTCATACGCAAGGCATGGAACATGCCGGCAGACCTACTTGCTAGGTAAGGTAGCATACCCTGACCCATTTCCCATGTCGTCCGTCCGGGTCTGGTTCTGGTCAAGTCTCAAGCCACCCCCGCTTATTGAGTGTGGTGGTCGTGGTGGTGGTCTCACTTTTTAGGTACACTAGACTTGAAAACCCCCGTTACTTACCCGTCGTGCTCATTCCGGTCTCCTGCTCCTTGCCTGGGCAATCCATGTACCATGTTCTCCTCCTATTTTGTTATGTCGTCGTCGGTGAACGCCAGGTCTAGAAGCGAACCTCAATTGTTGTCGCTTAGACTAGGCACATCTAGGTACCTACCTACCTCTACACAGAATGTGAACTCTTTGATAGGTAGATAAGTCTGAACAGACATAGATATAATGGATGGAACGTGCACCTACCTACGCTCCCCTACCTCTCCCTCTCACTCTCGGGCTGTCTATCTATTTGTCTTTCTATTGCTCTTCATGACTTGTCGGCTAAATAACCTACCAACTCTCTGTACAGGTATGCTATACCCTCACAAGTACCTATACACCTCTACACCTCTAAATGGATAAAAGCTTACAAACCTTTTCCTTCCCTTGACACGCCGACCATACAAAAAAAAAAAAAAAAACAAGCATCAGCCAGCCCACAGGAATCCATATTTCCTGTACCACAGCTACAGGCAGTTCAATACGTACCCAAGGTTAGTAGCTTCACCAGGCAGTCAATCCTAACACTGAAGAGATCCCAACCGAATTAACCGAACCTTCCTTTTTATACCTACCCATACATGCAAACTGATCTAGGGTACAATACTACCCCCGTCCCGACGATCCGCGGAGGGGTAGCTCCTACCGAGGAACCTTACTCTCGTTAGAGGTACTGATCGTATCCCATCCCTTCCCCCCCCCCCCCCCCCCCCCCCCGCCTCCAAGGCACGACATACCTAAAAGGGAAGGCGGTCGGTAGATTTCCATCAATACCTACCTAGGTACCCAGGTAGGCTGAGGGATTCTTCCCTCTTCTTCCCTTGTTAGGTATCGTTGTCCAGATGTGCAAGGGGTGTGGATGCAAATCGGGGCGCGCGAGAGAAATAGGCGAAACATTACCTACCTCTACATAGTGGATGATACATGGATGGTTGTGATTGAGGTTGATTTGTGTAAAGTGTGTGTACCTGTATGGTGTAGTGTGCTGGTAAGGAGAACGATTAGGTAGGTAGCGAAGGTTAAAGGATGGATGGTTTAAGGATGGATGGATGTTCGGGTGGGTAGGGTACCTCCAGTCCCTCTTCTACTACCTAGAGGTAGGTATGTAGAGGTACCTAACACTTGATATAATCAATCTAGGCGCAAGGTCGAATTTCCCCTTTCATGTTGGATCCAAGGGAGATAACAGAGAGAGAGAGTGTGTATACAGCAAAGGGAAGAGACCGAAACAGGAATAATGGATGTGAGAAACGAGACTATACCAGTATACCTACCTCTAGGTCGCCGGCTTCACATGTTTAGGTAGGTGTACTTGACGTACTAGAAGCCTTACCCCTAGTCCCCTACCTACCTACTCACCTTACCTACCTACCTTAGCAGCTTTGAGACCTGTTAGGGTACTGACTCTTACCTACACGGTGATAGAGACCCTTTAAAAAGTTCGGTAGAGGTACCTACCCTACCTACCTAGCTTTGAGACATCTTGTCAATTGACTTGTCCCGGTGTTTTGACATCCCTTCCCTTGCATGTTTACAGCCAGCCCTAGGTAGGTAGCTTCCATCCCGCGAGGCTCCTCCAATGCAGCAAGACAGACAGCGTCGATTTCCATGTCTCGCCCAGTACCTCTATGTACCTAGGTACTTCGCGGATCTCCGTATGCATTGAAATGATGATCACTACCTAGCTAAGCGCCTGCGTGGACGGCACACTACCTAGGTAGGTAGACAAAGGTCGTAGGGGTCTTGCAAACCTAGGTCGTCACCGGGCACACATGGAACGCAAGGCCACCTTGACGGACGGGCGGCAAATTGGGAATGTGCGAGAGTGCGAAATTTGCTGTAGCGGCGCAGGGCGTGCAGTCAGTTTCGGCGGGCGGGGAAGAGGATCGTTGTTGACATTGTCGATTCGTTTGGCGGAGGTGTGGGTGGCTTTGGAGGGTCGTGTATGTGGCGGTGGGCGTGTGGTCCAGTCCTGGGTTGGTGGTTGCGATGGATGGTGATGGTGAACTGCACGCACGGTGAATTGCCGTCTGGTCTGGTGGTGATGGAGTTTTGAACTCGAAGAACAACAACAGAAAAAAAACACAATGATGTGAAATTCTGGAAGGGTAGGTACCTACCTACCTACCTACCTCTCAGCTGCCCGGGTTCACGGGAAGGTTCAATCCCAGGCTGCTGTCGAGTCGAGTTCATTCGTCTACCTAGAGGTAGCCGCGCAATGAAGGCAACAAGCCGGAGCACGAAACAAAAAGACCAAGTACGTACCTCCCGCCCCCAAGCACCCAGACCCAGACCCCTTCCCTCGTGCTTTATGTATCAGGTCTTCGTACCCCATACCAATAAATACCTAAACAGAAGCGCGGTTGGCGTAGTGGTCAACGCGTACACACCGAAAACACCACTTGTGCGAAGGGTGTGAGTTCAATGCCAACCCGAGCACGCAAAGTTCGAACTGGGGAGGGTAGTGGCGCACCAAAATCACAGACAAAAGTGGCACGGTAGTGTAAGAACCCGGGTTCGAATCCCGGACCGCGCATTTCTTTTTCTTGTCGAGTTTTTGGTGAAGCTGGTGTTGAAGGTGGTACCTACCTAGGTATTGTTCTTTTTGGAGGCGGGGGAGGGGGGGCCTGTGGTCGTGTTTACGATGGTGGTTGTGCTTGATGACGACGAGTCCTTGAACCAGTGCGGAAATAGCAGGCAGGGTATTTCTTGGGATGGGATATATTGGTCTCTCTTTTCTACAGCTTCCCGCTGCTTCAAACGAGATTTACTAACACTTCAAACCTCTAGAGGTACGTCTGCCGGTTCCAAATCTCCCAAGATCATCACGAGCAGTATATTCCCAGTTCGCCTGATTCAAGTCATTATCCCATGCAGTCAATTGGATTACGTGTTGCTGCATTTGCCTCAGTGAATCGATTCAGCTTGCTTTCAGCACGTTCTCTACCTCTATTGATGAGCTTTGTAAGGCTAAAACTGGAAACGTCTTTGCTTGTGCTAGAGGTAGGTAGGTAGAGGTATTCAACATCTTGACCCGTCGTTAGTAGAGGTAGGTATTCTCATTGCTCATCTAATTGGAACCAAAGTATCTCCAATTCCAATGCTCCACCGGATCACTTACCTTTAGTGATTGACATCTCTATAGAGATATTCACGTCCTTGATGTTCCATCACACACAAACCTCTTAGCTACCTCTACATTCAAAATTTACATAATTGATTCTGCGGGATCGAAGTAGCCCCCTCCGACGTCGTTGTTAGAGGTAGTTCATGTGGTCCGCGAGTCTCTAGTAGGGATTTTTTGTTCCAGTCGTAGCCAGCGAGTAAGGCTTCCGAGTTGAGGTCCACACCCGCTGCGACTTGCGAGGTCCATGGCCGGGTGAAGAATAGGCAAGCGAGAGATGAGACATTACGTAGCTGCGTGATAGACTGGTGGTGGGATACCTACCTAGAGGTAGGTAAAGGTAGGTAGGTGGCGATATCGAAGAAGAATGTTGAAATTAAGTCGAATCCTATTAACTGCCAGTTGAGGGACTGCTGCTGCTTGAAGATGAATTTCATGAGCCATGGTAGCCATCGGACAGAGTGGAGGGTACACCTACTGCTGGGCAACCCTACAAGCTCTAGCTTTCCTCTTCTTGTTCTCACCGAAGTTAGGTACCTCTAGACAGTATAAGGGCTAAGAACTATGACGCGTGAGCTCACATGGATGACATGTCGGCGAGCTCTCTCAAAGTTAGGTATAAGGTGATGTCCTTGAGCTAGACTCGGAAACACAATACTTGTCGAAGTGAACGTGATCAACATTGGCACAATGCGGGAACAGTGGCAGAATGGTGGTGAGACTACCTCTAGTATGAACTTGTGGACTGAGGTGGTGAAGAAGAACAAGAAGACAAAGGCAACACCTCTACATACAAGACCATGTGCAATCCACAAGCTCTTCGCACAACCCCCAAAACAGCACTCTTATTCCACAATTCCGCATTCCTTCATTCTCAAAGCCCTTACTTCTATCCTTCTCTCCTGCCCTCCTCCTCGAGCATCTCGCCCCTGAGGTCTCTCGACGATCTTGGCACCATTGCCAATGGCGGGGTTGTGGCTAGCGGTGACCACAACTCCCATCCACCGATGGTCTGGGAGTTGAGCTTGCGGCTGCGCAGAGCCGCCAGCAAGCCGTTGTGGAAGCATGACGGCGGTGTCCCAAACCCCTAGCAACAGGAAGCTGTTTCGTCCTTCGCCCGAGTCGGCAACTCGAGCTTCTTTGGAGCTCGGGTCAATGCCCAAGGTCTTCAGATGTAACCCATCTGGGAGCCGTAGCCGGCAGGTGACTGGGCTTGAGGGCCGCGGTGCCCCCAACGGGTTCTGCGGGAACAAGGTCATTCTGAGTGGTGTAAGGAGTCAAGTTGCCGACATAGCAGGTTGTCTGCCAGGCATGCGCGGCTTCGTAGAGCATTTTGTGGGGGCAAGGTCTCTTGTGAGGCATGGCTGAGGTCTGGGCTCCGCAGTGATGTAGGACCTGTAGTCTGAGGCTGTGTGTTCGATGCCGCACCGCTACTAGAAGAAGAGTGATATGTTGAGGTCTTCTTCTGGTGGCGGAAGTTACCTTGCTGGCCTGGGTAAGAGTCTGTTTTATGTGTTAGCAGCTGCGCGTCAAGCACGTAGAGGTGTGAACCAGGAAAAGGAACTTACTGCCATAGTTGTTGGAGCGACAACTCCTACCCCAGGCGCGCAATGTGGTGGCCTTTGGAAGGTGCAATGGTGGCCTGGGTAGGTACCTACTGGCGGGGTATTTGAGTAAGCATTATGGTCAGGCGGCCGACGAGAACGCTGTTGGGTGTGCTCATGAACTGGCCGGGGAGAGCGAGAGCGTAAAAGATTGCTTTCATGGCGAAAGAGTCGTCATTAGGGAAAGAGATCTCCAGAGGAGCGGAAGCAGCACAGTTGTCCCCAGAGGGCGGCGAAAGGACTTCCTCTTTGAAGAAGCCGGAGTGATCGTGGAAAGTGAAGAAGACTGGCTTCTTGTCCTTTCCATCTCCACAATCTCCTGAGTGTCCTCGACAACGGACCCGCTGCATGGCGTTGCGAGCATCATCCGGGCTTCTTGTCGTCGCTAATAGGGACGTCCTTCTTGGGCCAAGCAAATTTGATCCTTCCGAAGCATGGTGGTGCCACTGGCGGTGTCTTCTTCTTGTCAATAACCTGGTCAGGGCAGTGTCATTGTCCTCGCAGGATGTGGTTTGCAAAATGTTCTGGGCGAACCCACAGGCTCGTGAAGCAAGATGATTGAGGGGGATGAGGGTTTTGACTGGCGCATCTCGCCGCCTTCGAGTACCCCATAAGCGCTGAGGGGTAGACTCTGTGGATGACTAGCCGATGGCCAAACTTATCTACATGCCGCCGGGGATATGGCCGAGGCAACTGCAGCGAGATTTCGTCCGCGGGGGCTGGACTCGTGGCCGTTAGGTGGCCAGCGAAGCCTTGGGTTTGGAATTCGACACCCCGGCGTCAGAGAAGGCGGTTTGAATGTTCAGTTTGGAGCTATGGCAGGTCGTTGGCCTTGAAGAATTTCTTCTCCCTAATTCAAAGTGTCAGCGTCCGCTCAGCTTCAGCCTTCAGAGAGTGTGAACTTACTCCTGGCCGTCCATGTTGGCGATGGCATTCTCGGCACCAGCGTCACAGCCGTTGGTCCAAACTTGCAAGGGCCTGTTGTCCACTTGGCCCAAGTCCAAGATATTAGGCTTGACATCCCTGGGGCAGCGCCTGGCTGTTAGCAGCCACTGTTGCCAGTGTATCCAACCTCGCCGCAGGAGTGACAGGGTGGCCGTAGCTGCTGGTGGCTGGTACCGTCCATGGCGCCAGTGGCCGAATGTCATTGATTTCGGCATCAGCATCGTTGGTGTAGCTGACGAAGTCGAAGCCCCTCCCTCGGTATGCCATCGAGCCAAGGGAGGAGCCTCATGACGCCATGGACGGTGTGAACTAAGAGCATGTTAGTACCTAGGGTAGGTATCCTGAATGCGAGCTGATTGAAGCGGTAGTGCCATGCCACTTACGGACAATGGGGATCCCGTAGGCGGGGGTAATGGAGCGGATGTAGTGAGTCGGCTTCTTCGCCAGCCGCGTCCGCGCGAGCGGAAGCATCATTCCCCGGGCGTCGGCACCCGCATCGGGCTGCTCACGAGGAGTTGCGGTGACCGAGGAAGCCAGACTGTAATGAGATATCTCAGTTCTGAGCGGCTTCTGAGTCGAAGTCTTGAGGTATCAGGGAAGGCAGGGTGACGGAATCGTGTATGACTTCGGTGAGTGAATGGAGGCGCGTTGTTCCTGTTGTTGGGGCATGAAGCAAGGTACCTAGGAAACTGAATACCATACCAACCGTTGGGAGAGTGGCGATGAAGGTGAGTCTGGTTTAACTCATGATGGTGGACATGAGAGAAAAAGGAAGAGGGAAGATGAGGAGGAGGGGAAGAGGGACGAGAAGTAGAGGTGAGTGGCAGAAGTTTTACCTTGTACTGACCTCCGGTCTCGTAACTGATGGGAACGAGAAGATGAGCGGGGTAGATTCCAATAAGGAATCACTTCTGTCTGAGTGAAACGAACGGGAGAGTCTGGTGGTCATGAGCAAGGGCTGGACCGTCAACACAGCTCAATACTAGTACCCATGACCTTCAAAGATCTGCAGGCTACCGATGGGAGCCACTGGACACTCCTAGCCTGTGGAATACATGCTGGAGCAGCTGGCAAGCCGTAGACAGAGCCTCAACAAACACTCGCACCAACCAGGCAACCGCCACCAGCCCACCAGGTGACCAGTCAAAGTGAAATGTACCTCTATCTCTACGTACCTCGTCTCCTTCCCCTCTACCCCTCCATCCCTCCTTCCATCTAACCCTCCCGTCCTCATACCCCTCGATCCCTTCTCCCCTCATACCGCTCCTTCTTCCCATCCCTCCTTCCATAGTAGTCGAAGTCATCCATCAGGCCTTGGCGTGGCGAGTGGATGTCTGCTTCATTCGCTGTTCTTGGTTGCCCGTGATTGTGGTGGCAATGATGATGAGGACGGGAAAGGGGTATATGCCCGTTGAGTGTCCCGTTACGTCGTAAGTATCCATCAGCTCCGCTGTGAGACGCGCCTTCCGTTGAGACTTGGTCTATGTCTTCCTTCGACAGGGCAGCAAGAAATTCGGCAATTCGTGTTCTGAGCATTGGGGCTTTCTCAGAGATGCAGTGTAGAGGTATTGCACACTCTGCTGACGGATTGCGCTCTTGTTTGGTAACTGCTGCCGTAAGATGTAGATAGAGGCATCTTTCACTTGTCAAGTGTGTGGTATGCCTGGGGCTATTTGGTGGCTGGGGCTCGTACCTGCAAAATTTGGTGATGCGGAAAAAATCCATGAAGCAATGGTGTTGGCCGAGACTCTAACGGGCACATTTACTTGGCCTTTTCTGGTGTAGACAATGTCCTTTCCAAAGGCAACGCTTCCACCTCTAGGCTTCCTTCTATTCATGTCGACGGACGTTTCCCCGAAGCCCATGTTGCCTCCGTCGACATTCCAGTATTGACACATCGATCGAAACACCACGGTTGAGTGTCATGGTTCCGTAAACGGAGAAACAACCTCTATTTGTGAAGATATTGATGGGAGATCATGGTGACGGTTGTATGTTGAAGATCTCGAAGCCCAGAGGGGAGTGTCTCGTTGAGAATGCAGTGTGGTATCATGTTTACAGGTAGAGATCGTGGAGTTGCAAAGTCACATATTGACACAGACATCCTTCAGCTGAGCAATCTGGAACTCCCCGTGACTGTTCATGCAACTGGTGTTGTGTTCTATGTACAAGCATCACCATACATCATGCATCATGCACCGTTGAAGCAGCCCTCCTCGGCTCGTCCTCATGATAATTCCCAATACAACCTCGCGTTGAATCCTTCGTAACATTTGTCAAGCCTTGACCGGCTTCCAGGACAGCGGGTGCTTTCTATCAACGGGACCATCCTACAATGATTTTTGCAACCAGATGCTTGATCGCATGCCGACGACGTAGGTCCTTCGAGAAGACATCAATCATTGCCATTCCATGTCGGAAGCGGGGACGGTCGTCCTTCTCCTCTTGTGCCATGATTGCTTCAATTTCTCTTCTTGTGCAGAAGTTAGACGTCTGTCTAATCGAAGCCAGTTCCCGTTGTCTCTCTTCCAGATTTCTGCAGCGAGCACCGGCAAAAGGGCCGATCGAGGTCGAGCGGCCTCGGTGGCGCGCGAAGCTTGCCACAAGGTAACTTTGGCCTTGCCGTTGTCTGGAAACACAAATTGTCAGCCTCTTCCATTGGCACAGGTAGAGAGGAGAGCCACTACAAGCGGCAAAGCATAAAGAGAATGAAATGAAAGTCAACGCACCTCTACTCTGTCAAGGTGACAACGAGTGATATGACTGGGCGCAGGCTGGAACAGGCTGGGAGGAGTGTTAGGGGCCGGGCTTTTTGGCCTTGCTGGCCGGCTTCTGCGAGGCCGAAGCACCGAAGACGCCTCTGGCGGCGCCGGGAAAGCGACAAGTGGGCTGAAGCCCAGGTAGGGTTGACTGGAATCAGGGGGTCAGTTGCCTACCTTCATCGAAGCGCGAAGCAGTTCAAGACGCAAGCAAACATGGGGAGGGGTGAAGACACTGTAAAATTGGGTGTCCAAGGATGGCTTTGACAAAGAAAAAATAGCACTTACATTGTCGGATACAGCCAAAGTTGCTGTTGAGCGCTGTTGCTTCTCTTGCTGTTGTGGTGCGTTGGTTTTGAATGAGGATGAGGGTGATGGTGATGGTGGGTGATGGTGTGTGATGGTGGGAGAGTGGGAGATGGAGGCCACAGGAAAGAACAAGAACACCAAGAGAAGATCAAGACGCGGGGTATTAGAGAACCCAACTCGCTTTAATACTGGGCCTCGTGTGCTGTGTGCTCGTAGAGTGACCAACGGTCTTACCAAATCCAGCCAGCCAGCCTTCCCAGCAGCCAACCGCTCGCAGAAGGCAATTTGGAAAGACTCTCACGGAAGGAGCCCAGCAGAAGCAGGCAACAACCGAGTCCCGTCCTCAGAGTCTCCCCCACCCCCCCATCAGGAAGAGGTACGTACCCGGTACCCCCAGTGTCCCCCTCCCTCTGCCTTGGGGTACATGTATTAGGTCCTTGTGTCCCTTTTCCAACAACAGACAACAGTCCGGTTGGCGTAGTGGTTTAACGCGTGCACTTCAGAACTTTGTGCTGAGGGCCAAGGCACCCCGAGGACGCACGTTCGAACGGGGGAGCGGTCTGGCAAACCGCAGTACAAACCAATGTGGTGCAAAACCTGGGTTCGAATCCCAGACCGGGCAATTCTTTTTTTTTTCTATCTTTTTTCCATAGTCATTCTGTATTAGTGCTTTGCTTTTTGCTTTGGTCATGGTCTTGAAGTTGTACGTACATTGTTCTGCCATATTTCCGGCTCCTGTTCCGGCTAGCAGGCTGGGGCTTCCCGTGTGTCCGTTTCACCTTTTTTCTCTTTTGCAGGGAGCACATCAAGTGTCAAGGGCGACACTTGTAGCGATATTTCGGTATAGGCTTCAGATACATATAGCGATGAGCAAATGTTTCAGTATAGGAGAAGAGGACGATGGTTACGAGAAAAGCGAGATTATTTGCCTTTAGGGCAGGTATACCTCTCGATGTCAGAAGCAACTCGGCCAAAACTCGGCCAGGCAGTGGAAGCATGCCCCTGTGCTTGACAGGGCTTCTCTTGGGTCACAAGAGGTATTATAGCACATTCTCCCACTCGTCTCCTTCCTCCTCGAAACGTTCGCGCTAGTTGTCATCTGACCATAGCCACAACCCACATGGAATAGTCCTACAAGATATTGTCCCAAATGGCAGGCCTCATCAAGACAAGTGAAGGCGTCAAAGGGATCTTGGAACGTATTGGATCTGTTTCTCCGTCTACCTAGCAAGCGGTATACGTAACTTCAAGGTAGACAGCCATGTTGAACTCATTCAAGAGGATTCCACTTTGCTCGCATCTTGATACTTCCTGTTTGAATTTGTTTTCTCGGTACCAACCTAGAGATAAATATCAACTTCACATCCCTCGTGCTTGTTGTGAGAGAAGTTGTAGTCTATCGCCCAAATCGCATTTGCACCCACCAAAGAAAGGAAGCGCTTTAGAACACCAACTCAACCCCAGCTCTGTCCGGTTCATCGACGACCATGTCAAGGACAAACCCATCCACTACTTCATCGGTGCGAAATAAGCGAGCAAGGACACTCGAACGGTCGAGATGGAGAAGTTGGCCGAACCTCGGGCGTGGAAGTCCGTCACTCCTTCATCGCATTCGCAATTGGAAAGTTTCCGATCAGTGAATCACTTAATGAGGGACGTTAACAGATGGCAAGTGGAAAGGAGTGTTCTGAATTAGATATAGACCAGTGTCTCCCGAGGCTTTGTTCATGCAGGCCAACTCCCTTCCTGGAACTGACTCCGCCGCCCTTCAACCCATTCTGAAAACACTGGTGCAAAAGATCCCACAAGCTTCCTCAGTCCAGTCCTTTCATCACCAGTCGTACGTTGTGCGCATTAAATTCAATGCCAAAGTGCTTGGTTCGAGCAAAGTCGCCATGCTTGCTATGTGCTCCTCGTGGACCTTATCAAGGCGGAACATAGGTGAACCCCGTAGAACCAGTGTGAGCCTGTATATATCTCTTCAGATCCCAGTGGGCGGCCAAGCTTCCCAATTGCCTTCATCAACTCCATCGGTGGGGCTCCATGCCGTCGACGGGTTGTCCCATTGTTCCACTTCCATGGGAAGCGCTCGACGGCGGAGAATCAACTTGAGGAGGTACCTAACGACGTTCGGCGGAGCTGTGATTGGGGAGAGGATCTAGTTAGCAAGTGTTGTAGCGTACCTAGGTACCTCTACCTAACATGAAGTAGGTAGAGGTAGTTGGGAGGGAAACAAGGCTTTCGCCGTGCCCAAGTTGCTCTCTCCTGCGCTTGCGGCCGCGACGATTTGCACTTTGAAAGTAGGTTGCGACCGCAAGGGGCTGGGGAAACTGGAATGCATCGATGCAGGACTGGGACATGAAAGACTTACATTGTCGAGCGCAGGTGGTCAATACCTACAATAGTAGGCCTTTTCATTCCAGGGACATAGGTCTGGCACAACCGGGCTGGAGGCACTTTGAAACCATCGCAGGTACCTGTTGCTGTTGCTATTGGTGTTTATTGGTAGGGTGTTGACCGTGTTGGAGGCTGGGATTGAAGGCGGTCCCAACGAAAAAGGTTTGGGTTGAAGATCAAGTGTAACAGATAGGGAGGGGAGAGGCGGCTGGAGCCAAAACATTCTGCTTTAAATATATAGAGGTAGGAAGGCAGTGTGGGTGAATGGAAGCGCGTGCAGTGAATGGGATCTCGAGCCAAAGCACGGCCGGCCGCCAACAGAAGTGGATGCCACATAGGTGGCGGTGGTGACAGACATGAGGTGGTGGCAGAAGTGAAGACGGAACAATTGACAAGACAACCAAGATCACTAGTATGGTCAGTTACTGGGTTGTCCAAAAACTCAAGCGGCTCGTCAAACTGAACCAAACAATCCAATGGAAGCCACTTGACCCCTTCCAACTTCCAACTGGTGGCTGTGTCGGAGCGCGCCGGTCCGTGACGGAGTCAAGTCTACCTACAAAGTCTACCACTCAAGTAACAAGCCTTCAACAACGGAAGGTACGACCACAAACTTTTCCACCAAGATAACAGATGGCAGAAGTACCTACGTAACTCGCAGTATATCTAAGGTAGGTAAGTAGGTAGGTACCTAGAGGCAAGTAGCGAATGGGAAACAGCTAGCTCCGAGATATGTCGTTGTGATTCTATTGGAATCTAAAGGAAGCAAGTCGACACTTGAAAACTATAGGTAGGTACCTACAATTTTCTCCATGTGTGTGTAGGTACGTAAGGTACCTAGGTATGTCTAGAGGTAATGGACTAATGGATACAAAAGTACTTGGAGAGCGGGGGGGCTCTAGGTATGTTGTGAAACAGTTGGAATCAATCTTGTTCACTCACGTTAGAATCTAGGTAAGAAGTCTCATACCTACCTCCGCGATATTCAATCTAGCCAAGTTCCTTCTTACCTCTAGTCTGGTTTCAACCTTGTGCTGCCATGGTGCCCAAACAGACTCTATCTTATGTGTATAGACTGACCCTATATACCTACCATCAGGGAACAGAACTGGACCTCGCGATACCGAATGTATATAGAGGTACTAACAAATCAAGTACGGTATATTAAAACAAAAAGGGCGGTCGTATTCGGGGTTCGAACACGTACAATACATACGACGCGCACTGCTCTCCTCTTTTCGATTTAGTAGTTCGTCTACACCTAGTGTATAATCTACGGAGTAAACGTCCAGCTTTTAAAGCTTACCACACATACAACGGCGGACTTACGATTCCCGAATTAAAGCATTTTTAGAATTCCATATTCTTCTCCAAGGGGAGCAAGAAACGTTGAATGGGAAGAAGGCACTTGATCTGACAGGTGTGTTGTACATCTGCATCTACCTACATCTACCCAAATGTAGCAGGGAGGTTATAGTAATAGGTAAGTACCTAATCAACTCGGCTAAACGCCGTTAACCAAAGGACAAAGCTATATCCTTGTGTGCTAATATGCTATTTATACATGTTCATCCATCTGTACTCCTCACTCATACCATTGCATAGTCATACTCCGTAGTCATACTCCGTAACATGCTACATCGATGCAATCCTACCTCTATAGAGGTGACCTTCACTTCTCAAAGTTCGCTCACACAGTAATGCTATACCCATCACCTACATCCCAGCCATAAATGCCAATGTTCCTTGATAAACACTCCCTAAGCGCTCCCTCTCATAGAACTCAGCATCATAGCCGCCTCCTGCCTCAACTGTTCCTCCGCCGACCACCCCGGCGGCCACCGACCTTGCCCCGGTCCTGGTCCTGGTCCTGATCCCGGTCCAGCCATCGACCCCGGCTCAGCCCCCACAGCTTGCCGCTGCCGCCCGCCTTGCTCCAGCGGTGGTCCCTTCTGCCGTATCTCCTCCAACCTCTGCTGCTGCCAAGCCTGAAAAGGCGTATAAAACCTCGCTGGAACGCCCCTTCCCGGGAGAACCGTCGAAAACGGCAGTGTCGATGGTACTGGAGCTCCTTGTACTGCCAGCTGAGCAAGTGCTGCCGCGCCGAGATCACCCCCCATAGGCAAGCGTTGACGGACACGGCGAGCGGCTTCCATCCAGGGGTCGTCTGCTTCGTTTTCTGTTTCAAGCGCGGGCGTGGGTGCAGGCGCGGGTTCTTGGATGCCTAGGCCCATATTCTGTTCCTGTTCCTGTTCCTGTTCCTGCAAGGGCTGCTTTTGCGCATCCATGGATGGCCGGAAAAACATATCGAGAGCGGTGGTACTCCAATACCTAGGTGGGTAGTTCGCTGGGGAAGGGCCTTGCTGATACTGGGACTGAGGTGGCTGTTCCTGTTGATCCCCCCACCTAGGGGGGAAACTCAGTTGTGACGCGAGAGGATCCGAGTAGAAGAAAGGGTTGCGGGCTTGGTTGGTTGGATGGCCATGTGGCGGTACCTGCTGTTGTTGCTGCTGACACAGTCCTTGTTGGTCTGCTGGCGGCTGCCCATGTTGCTCTTGGCCTGGTGGTTGGTTCTCCTGGTCGTTGTGTCCCTGCGGTTGATGTACCGAGCCCATCCTACCTCTCGGTCCATTCGAACCTAATGGCGGGCTGCCCACATTAGGACTCAACACGTTCTCTGACAACGGTCCGGGTGTATCGAACTTGGGCTCCAACACCTGCAACTTAAGCAAGCCATTGGCGGGTCCAGTCTTACTCCTCTTTCTGCCCCCCTTGGTGACGGTTGAACCTCGGCTTGGAACGGTAGTCTGGGCATTGTTGAGGTTCCTCATATTCAGGGGCGGTAGCTGGTGTTCCTTGGGGGTCTCAGTTTGTCTCGGCTGCGGACTGGAAGCGCGAGTGGAGGCGCGAGACTGCGAATTCGAAGCAAGCTCATGGTACCTAGCGATCAGCCGGTCAGTCTCTTCGAAACCGGCGTCATATTTGTCAACTACCTCAACAGCGAGGTTGGCGAGAGGTTTGGGTGTGAAGATTGCGGTTGTATGTATCGCCGTATGAGGCGGTATGCTAGCACCGCTGTTGGTTCGGTTTCGAGGGGCCTGCGGTTTGGGTTTCGGCAGCGCTCGGTTCTTGGGTATCGTTGCTGGCGGTAAGAGTTGTGTTTGTCGTGGTGCCGGAGGCTGAGGGACTTCAGGAGTCTTGGAACGCTGACGTTGAGGCGCCTTGAATGGGATGTTAACCGGGACGGCGGTAGCATGGGGATGATGTGGTGGTGGGAGAGCGACCTCTGTCCCGTTTGTATCGAGAGAGACGCGGGTCTCGACACCCCGTATCATTTTCCATGTGACATTCCGTTTTCGCTTGCGAGTCTTAACCGCTGCGGTGATGGAGTCGGCTTCAAGGTCCACCTGGATTTCGTCCTGTTCTGGAACGTTGCCACCTGCGTCACTGGCAGACACTTGTACCGGTGGTTGAATGTCCCGGTTAGGCTGGGGCTTCTTTCCAGCCGCTGCTTTTGGTTTGTCGTTCTGAGAAGCAGTAACCTTTTTCTTCTTGGCCTTTGACTTGTCCTTAGTATTCGTCTCAGCAGGAACAGGCACTTGCTTCTCCACTTCTCTTTCCAGATTCCTGATGACTTCCAAGTTGCTCATGATCCTCCAAACCAGATGTGCCGCATTGTTCTTATGATCACGTACAGACGCCGGTCGTTTCGCATCGGGGTTGAGTTTGGGTTCCCTAGGGGCTCTCGTAGGTCGCTTTTGAGCTGTCTTTGTAACAGGTGCCGGCGGTGGCGGCATCTCTGCCTCGGTTGTTTCGGTTGACTCCTGTTGCTGTCTCATCTCCTCCGGAGTTACCTTGTGTTTCTTCAAGGCACTCAGGGCCTCGATAGCGAACTGGTCCTGGACCGTGTTTGCTGCTTCGACCAGTGCCTTCAGACCCTTATTGTCGCTTTCCCTCCTCCTGTTAGATGTCGGAGGCTCATCGGTCTTGTCAGACTTGTCCTTGTCGACATTGTTTTTCTCCACTGCCTTGTCCTTGTCCGTACTCTTCTCGTTCTTCTCGGCTGCTTTGTCGGCGGCCTTCTCAGCCTTCTTCTTGCTAGTCTCTCCACCACCACTAGTTCTGGCCTTACTAGCCTTGGCCTTCTCTTCTTCCGGCAAAACCGTACCAGGTGGCAACCACAGCGCAGGCTTCCTAGTCTGGAGATCTCCCACCCAGGCGTCGCAATCCCATTGCACCCAGAAATCAAGAACATCCGACCATACACTGTCAGGGGGTTTGGTAAAGTTGACAAACACCACCTTACCTCCCTTGTCATGAACAGCCTTGGCAAATTCCTTGACCAACACCTTTAGGCCATGAACTCTCATGCTGGTGCCAAGAATGAGAAGCATATCCGGTCCGAGGGAAAGGTCGTGCTGCACCAGAGGACTGATCAGGTGAGCATGTGGGTGCTCTTCGCCGTACAAGACAATATCCGGGCGAAGCTTGCCTACTCCCAGCGCTCGTTTGCCCCGTTCCTCTCTGGCTGCCGTCGCACCAGCACAATGGGGGCAAGTTGGTTGCCGACCAGCTAGGGTATCCGCTTGGCGATCAGCATCATCCCACGAGGCGGTCCGGGCGCAGACGAAGCATCGGAGCTCGGCCAGGGATCCGTGGAGGAAAACGCATTCGACACCACGGTTAGGGGCGGCCGGTTGTGACGATGTATCCTGCGAAGCCTCGGGTTGGGATGCCGGTGGTTGACTTGCTGGCGGGCACTCATTCTCCTTTTGTCCCTGACTTGACGAGGGGCGGTCCTCTTCCTGGCTCTGATCTGCATCCTTGGGCCGGCCACCTGCAGGCTTTCGGGTCGAAAAACGGTAGCGGCTACCAGCACCGAGTTCGAGCGATGTGGCCAGACCGACGCGTTCCTCCAGTTGATCGATGTTTTGGGTGTAGCAACGGACCAGTTTTCTGCTGTCACGGAGGACACTGACAAAGTGATGGCTGGTTGTTGGCTCGGCGGCGCGCACCTTGTGGCGAAGGGTGGTCGCAAAGGTGTAGAAAACCGACGTCTTGACGGGACACGACCAGATTTGGGCGTCAAAGAGATCCTTGCCCTTCATGTTTGGTAGCGTGTTCTTGGACGAGAACGACGACTGGGACGTCAGGAAAGGTGTAGATACGGACGAGGGATCTTGGCTGTCGGAGTCGGACGAAGAGACACTGCCACTGCGGGAAGAGCGCGAAGTCGAGCTGTCACGGTAAGGATCGAGCAGAACCGGCGGAGGCGAGGACAAGGGCGAAGAGCCCAGGCCGCGGTCGTCGCGCAGATGGGAGAAATCGAGGGTGGGCGGAGAGGCCTGGAAATGGGGAGGGCGGTCCGAGGGCTGTCTATTGTTGCTGGCGATCTTGGACCGGGGGGTGGTGACTGTGATTGAATCGTGTATCTTGTCCTCCCCTACCGCGCTCGTATCAGGTAGCTCGGAGTCGCTCACGTCTTTTCCGTTGGCGTCTTGAGGGTCGATTCGGAGTCGTTTCGCCGGTCCATCAGCAGACGTCTCGGACTCTTGGGAAGCATTCTGCTTCTCGGCGGCATCGAACTGAGCTTGGATCAGGGAGTAGAGACCATTTTCGGATCGAAAGTCCTGTGGTGTTGGGAGGGCTATTAGCGGGAGAGGGGGCGCGCGTTGTTTAGCTGCCGAATGCTACTCACGGGAATGCCCGAGTTGGTGCTGATTCCAGCGCCGGTGATGACCACGACCTTCCTGGCCTTGTAGAGGGAATTCGCAATTTCCTGAAGCAGTGCTTCCGAGTTGGGCTCGACGTGGGTTGTAGGCATGGTCGGTGGTCGGTAGATGGTGGTGGTTATAGGTTGTTGTTAAAAACTCTAACAGCCACCGACAAGCAGACGCCAGGACGACAAGACAGGCGACAACAGGCACGGTCGGCGTCCAGCGGGTGCGCGTGTGATGGCAGAGGGATCCGAAGATTATAGCGTCATTGCTTGGTAGGTGGTGGTGGTTGGTGATGTAAGGTGACTTGTCAATGGCTCGTCTTTTGCCTTGGCTGTGGTGTTGACTTTGCTCTTTTGTCTTTTTCTCGCTGGTCTGGACAGATGACAACGCTCGTCGACTCGACTAGTACGGATGATGATGATGATGATGGCGGGAGAACCCTCTTGTGTGTGGTTGGGGCTCACATTGACTGGATGTTGCAATGGTGACCGATGGCAGTCTCTCGAGTGACGGGCGGGCAGTCCTCAGTCTGGTGACAAAGTCGTTGTAGAATCTTTTGTTGACTCTGTGTGGTCAAAGTGGATTCCAAGTCATCGAATTTGTGGATCGCGGCCGTTAGTGGGTGACGGCGTGTTGGGGCCTGGAGGTACCTGAAGCCACTGTAAGGAGAGTGTTGCAGCGCCCTACTGTAGTCTAAATGCTGCCATGGCACACGCGGGGATTCCCGTCTCCACTTTACCTAGCAGGGTTCCATGGATGCTTCACTGGCCCAGCCGCCAGAACCACCCGGCACCTAACCAATTGGGTCACACACCCGTACATAACTGGAGGCTGGGCCGTCCACCGGCTTGGCGCCTGCCTGCCTGCCGCCGCCGTGACAGGCCGGGATTCCACTTGCTTTTGACGGCCAGGCTGAGGTCGAATAAAGGTACTTGGACAACAAATCGCAGTTGAGGAGTTCATTCACCATTGGCATACACACACCAAGCAAAATTGCCAACGACAACGACGATCGCCATGTTTGTTGATTTACAGGGGGGTTGCTGCAGCAACTATCACGATAATCCCAGCTCACTAACGTACAGCCTTGTCGGCAACGGAAAGACACTACAAAATCACTCAACAATTTGACAAGAAACAGGCAATTCAGAATCGTCACTCTAATTGAGAAGATTGGTGTCTCAAGTCTGATTTCTTCTTCCACGTCATTTACACCGTTGTTTTCACATCTTACTCCCGTTTGTTAAATCCCGACCATTTGCTTCTCTCAGCCTTACTTACATTACATGGCCTCAGCCCACTAGCTAGGTACCCTACATCTTTCACTTAAACCAACTCTCGTGTTCCCCCTCGCCGCATATTACCTCATTACAGTAATCTTCATATCAATGATGCTCTCTGCGCTTCTGCTTCTCATCTTGTATTCCCTCCCCCCACGCGGCGCTCCTTTTTGGTTCTTGATCATCTCTATACCTAGGTACCTATTCTAGCATTCTACCTACCATATCAAGCTCTCAGCAAAAAGTTTCCGGTACTCGCCATGGCCTGCCTCCCGGAATGACTTGCCTACAAGCCCCAGGGCCAAGCACCTTTCTTTTCGACAAAAACGCCAGCGTTGAGGAGGGCATTTCTTCACCCCAGAACCTTGGAGGTAGGTGTGTGAGGACATAGGGCGCTGCGGTACTCATCTGCCATGTTGAAAATGCAGTCATCAGCTTCTTCTTGAGAGCGTCGACGTCCTCCGGGAGCTGCACGCCACTCCATGTAAGGTACAACTGCCCGGCTAAGACCTCAGGAGGATGCTTGATGGAGAAGATCCCGTCTCCACCTCTCTGGCAAAAACCTGGTAGCAAGAGTTGTACTCGACCCCTTGAAGGCTACCTACCTATCTTTGGGCAGCGGATCGGAGGAAAGGTTAATATAACCCTTTGACAGCAGCTGTCGCTTGCCATCAGGAACGCTCATCAAAGCCGCATCGCTCGCTAGAGCTGGAGTTTCTTTTCTGGCTGTATCGTGGTGGTGAAGTGGTACGAAGCCGCTCCATGCACCTCAGTCAGGTCTCAGATACTAGCCGCATCTCCGCAGCTGAACGCTTTAGCACTGATGCAGCTTCGGGGTACATTTCGCAGTATGTTTCCCATTTTTTTTTTTTTTGTTTTTTTTTTGCGAATGCCGCTAGGGAATCCCTCTGAGCAGGGGACCTTGGACCGCCGCATCATCCCCATGTATGTAGTGAGAGTCGGCCTGCTCGTGCACTTCGGGGTTACCTAGATTGGTGCTGAAGTGTCTTGGGGCGGTTGTGTTTGAACGGGCAGTCGTATAGGAGGATATGGGGCGCTCCTTATTTGCGATTCTGGTACTTCCAGCTGCGCAGGGCCGTGTCATTGTACATGGCTTGCACGTTTGGCCTGGTGATTCTTTGAGGTATGGGCGACTTCTTTGGTATATTTGGCGGTGAGGCTTGGGTTGTCGGGCTGTGGTGGTGTTTGGACGGGAGAGGGAGCCTTTCTCTGAGCTGGAAGCATTGGATTCCATGGTGTTTGATGGACCTCCAACTGCTCTGGCTGCCCTTTGGGATACTGGTCTGTGATTTCGACAAGGGCACTGTGGCCGCGGCCATGTTCCATGTCGAGCCTCTTCACCTGGATCATATCCCGGTGCCTCGAATGGAAGTTGGCAAAGAAACGAGTGCTCGTTGTGGTTGATTCACCATGGATCCATCCGGTCCCAGTAACCACAGACGGACCAGGCCGCCATCATCACCGCTTGGAAGTCCCCACATACGGATATCGACATCCTGGTGTTAAATTCCAGCGTCAGCGCAGTCGGCCTGAATGCCCACCGGCAATGGCCTTTAGCATTGGGCTTTCCTTCGTGTGGAATGTTTCAACTAGGTATTCTCCAATACATCGGCCGACTATTCCGCATTGGCCAAATTCCCACGCACCTGCCATCAACGCCATGATCCGTTGGGACACCCAGAAAGCTAGCCCCTTAAGATCCCTCTCCCGCCCCCCTGGCCCAATCTCTCATCCAAATTCCTTTCTCTTCAACATAGTTAGGAACTTTGTTGTCGTTTTTGTTCACACCTCATTCGCTCCACGCCGCAACACATTCGCTTCAATGCCCGCCTAGCGTAGGTCAGCCCCGTCAACTCAATCACGACGGCCCTTTGGGCGAAAGCACTCCAGGCACAACGGCGACCAGAGGGGTTAAACCAACTCAAAAGTGTAGAGGTGGAGTACCTAGGATTTGCAGATCCCTTGGACGACGACAGCGACGGACTTGGTAAGGTACCTATACCGACGTGAAAAAGGCCCTATTCACCCCTTTCAAGGGAAAGGATGCCATCTGCCTGGACACCTGCCCTCTCCCTGCCGCCGCACCTCTCTAGTGATCAATGCGAGTGTCATCAGCGAGGAGACTTCTTTCTCTTCGTCTCTCGTGGCCTTTAAACAAACCTTGGATGGTTGCCGTTTCAAAGGCCAGCTCTCTCCAAGGCACCAGCACCCTCTCTAGGGCACCAATTCACCGGTCCCCTGCAGACTCCGATGCGAAAAAACATCTGGCAGACAAGACCGACATCCAGGGACCCACCGCAGGACGATAACGGAAGAACGCCCCCAACCGATCAACACACGTGAATCAGACGAAATGGGCACCTCGCCGTCACCAAATCTCCGGTATCTCCAGACCCGAGTGACGACTTCCCAGCTTGTCGTCGCGAGGTATCTTCCCTTTTTCATCTCGTTTTTCGTTGACCATATCATCCAAACCATTTATCAAAACCGTCACTCCCAGACGTCGACATACCAGCCGGTCGACGCGGCACAGACGTGAACCACTTCATTGATGAAGTATGTAATATCACGCCGCGGAGAGGTAAGGATGGGTCCCAGCGTTGAAGGTACCGTGGTGATTTGTACGTCCGGGAACTCATCGCGCCTGGAGACCTCGCCCATGGTCTGGATTTGAAGACAGCTATGATGCCAGAACATCTGGACGGGGTAAGAAGGAGAGAGAGGAAACGGACTTCCAAGGCTGTTAGTCTTGGTGTTGCTTGTATTGTTTGCTTGAATTGGGTGGGGGCTTCGTGTATCATGGAAATTTGGTCGTCAACATGGGATGTTTGAGCCATGCGTCTTCGTGTGCGTGGAAGCTGTAGACTGGAATCTCAGAGACCTAGGTAATTAGAATTCTACCTATTTGGGGATAACGGCCAAAAGCCCATGCACCGCTTCTACTGCCTTTACCAACCAGTGAAGCTCCTCATCGTCAATTTTGGGGAATTGCCCAACCCAAGCCTTTCAAACATCCCGTCCCTTCCAATTCCCTTCGAGCAACCACCGTCACGGCCCTCAACAATAACAAGGAATCCGACATGGACGCAACGGGACCGGGAAATCGCTGTTGCTGGAAGATTTCCATAACATCGATCGGATGGGTGACGTTTTTGAAGCCGTACAACGAAACCTGTAGGCGACCCTCCGCACGGACGACTCAGACGGCTCCCGAGCAAAGATCCCGCGATGCTAAGGCGGTCGCAGAGGGTGTGGCTGCTTTATCGTTAACCCAGGGCTCCAACAATTGTTCAGGTGCTTGAGTGGTTTGGATGGCGGCACCCCCCTCTGGCCAATTCGGTATAATCGCCCCACATATTACAAAATAGTATTCTAATTCCAGACGTAGCTAAACCCAATTCCGACATGGCATGCGGAATGTAGGTTGAGACCGGCCGCGTTCTACCTGGTAACCTGTGACTGATTGGGATCAATGGACTTCCGACGAGCGGCGGCTTGGTTTGGGACCTGGCGGATGAGAAATTGCCAGTCGCCAACTGGGGCTGAATTGGCGGGTGGTGAGGTGAAAGCTGCGTGGTGCCTCTTGCGTTGAACGATCTCCAGGCAAAGAGGGGAGCGGACCTCTCTCAGTTTAGGAAGTTCTGTGGACAGTTGCTTCCCTTCCTTGAGGTTTGCAGAGCATGACTGACCCGTAGCATCAAGCAAGGAGAACGATGCAAGCCGCCACTGAGACTGTTAGGAAACTGAAGCCGATAGGTCGAGGTGGTGTTCTCAGTTGTTGTCTGAGTCGAACAACTTTGATAGTTGGAACCACTTGTCTGCCTGCGCCCCTGCCCAGGGTCTCTCTCTCGAAGAAGCTCCTCAAGGCATTGGATTAATGGGTAAGTAACTTGGCGAAGCTGACCCGAGCGAGCAGCCCAAGTTCGTACTCCAGACTCTTGAGCACCCTGACTCCGAGCGCGAAAAGCCTCCATAAGTGTACGTCTACAGAGCCGAATTGCGATTATAAGGCCAAAACCAACTCGACTCTCTTCCTCCACCGCCGAGAGACAGACAGCACCGAAAGGCCTTCTGAGTGTACAGAGCCGGGTTGCGGTCAGAGATTCACAACAACCTGTATCAACTTAACCAACACCAATTGACAAACAGCAGCAAAAGCCTTATGAGTGTACAGGGATGGTTGAATTGCGGTCAGACATTCAAAACAACCTGTTACCAACTCAAGCAACACCAATTGACACACAGCACCGATAGGATCTGGCCATGGTGAAGTGAATGCAGGAAGCCATGCCTCTGCCTTTCCCTCGTTCTGATATCCAGGAGATACTCGACGCTCTCTACATTGGGGTCGATGAACTGGTGGATTTGCGGGTTCTGCTTGTTCTGCGGCTTCTGCCTTTGCCCTAGTGGTAGTCGTCGCCTCATGTCGGCTGTAGATTGGCAGAGGGGGGATACTCCAGAGAGTCTTTTTAGAGAAGAGAGGAACCAAAACAATCTGACGGAAGTACCCAGCATCAGCAGAGTTTTCCATCCTTCCTTCTTCCCCAAAGATGACAGTAGCAGGAGGGTTCAGTTGGTTCTGGTGGCGAGGATGTAGCGGGGAGCGCACAGTAATTCAGCACCCGCCAAAGCCGTCAAGGACCAGACGATAATCCGCCCGGGATAAAAGATGTCAAGATGCTTTATCGTGTCGTAGATCTTGAATCCAATGTCGTCGATGATCATGTCGATAGTGTCTGCGATAGTAGCAGATCGACAGATCGGATGACTCATATAATTTGGGAGCTTGTCAGTGGAAGTCATGGGGCTGTTGGTGGAAACCGCTTGTGGGAACCGCTTGTGGGAGGGTACAGATCTTGGTGAAGCGAAGGATGGTGAGAAGAAACCCGGAGCGGATAAAGATGGTGAAAACAAGACTGCTCCAAAGGCGGGGGGGATCCTGGGTTTATATACACATCATGGAGACTATATCACAACCCAGCACTAAGTTATGGCACATGCCTTGGCTTTCTTGAAGAGTGGTGAACCTTGAAGGAGAATGTCGCTAATAGAGAAAGACCCTTCAGAGTGTCTGGCATCGGGGGTTTCGTCCCCTCTGCGAAGTGCACCTTCTTGCGCAGAATTTCTACCCGACACGTTACCTCTACGTGCCGAAGTCGATCTTGACTTTCCATTGCTGTCATGCAGCACTTTCCGCATGCCTGCCACATGGAAAGATTCTATCTGTAGCAGCGGCCTTCCGGTCCCGGGTTGGGCACTGCTCTGTGGGAGTCGGATTGGGGCCTGGCCGTCTGGAGCCGGTCCATGTCCTGATTTCCTCAACAAGGCATGTCTTCTCCTTTGCTTCGGAAAGCCTTGAAGCTTCCACCGGCACCAAGTCGGACTTGCGGCTCTCCGATCGTCGTGAGCTGATGAGCCAGACTCTCAAAATTCTCGTCTGAAGACCAGTCTATCTCGTCGTCCGCCGGTGATGGTAGAAATCTGAGAGCACTGACAAGATGTCGAGATCGGGACCTTCAGAATCAGGAGGGCTCCAGGCTCCGTCGTCCCCGAAGCCCGGTTTGATCATTGATGGCGCTGAAGAAGCGGTGTTGATGGTAACCTCTCCACAAAGTCTCGTTTTGTGAGAGACTGCTTCGGAGAAGAGAGGGTATAGGAAGGACAGTCGTCAGAATCAGAAGGGCTCTAGGAAAATATGAGTCGAGAGGATTTCCAGAAGTCGTCGGCAGATGCCGAAGCACTGCAGCTGCTAGTTCTCGAAACTGAACTGGTGTAGATGTTTGGTTGCAGCTGCTGTTCCAGCTGCTGTTGTTCCAGCTGCTCCAGCTGTTGTTGTTGCTGTTGATGCTGGCGTTACTGTTGCCAGCCATTTTAGGTCATGAGGATGAGGAGTTCGGCGTACAGTTCGGCGCAGACTTCGGCGCGCAATGTGCACCGTCACAAATAGGAAGCGATCTCAATCCAGGGGCCGTTGGTGTTTCGCAAGTGGCTCCGCCATGGAGTTCATTTGGAAAAGTTGCTGGCGAAGCGCGCGAGTAGTGCGTGGTTGGTCTGGAAGCCAAAGATGGAAAAGCGGTGATATTCTATGTGATGGACACTGGGAAAGGGGAAAAAAGGGAAAAGCTGAGAAGTAGAAGTGTTGTCGACTTGTGGGCTTTGAAGAGAAGAAAGAGAAGATGGAAAAGCGGTGATGTTCCATGTCATGGACCCTGCAAAGGTGGAAGAAGGAAGAGGCTTAGAAGTGGAAGTGTTGTCGACTTGTGGGCTTTGAAGTAAAGAACAAAGGGGATAAAACAGCGGTACCGATCTGGACCGAAAGAAATCGTTCATCTCGCCCGTAGAAACCAGTCGTCTTATAGGTGCCAAAGCTGTTTTCGGGACTACCACGTGCTCCGTCTGAAGTTGACGAGAGCCAAGAGCGGTGGCTGCAGGAAATCGTCTAGGTGTTCCCAGTTGAAAGGAAAGAACATGCTTTTTGGCAGTAAGGGTATGGAAAGAAGAGCACATTTGCGAGGATAGACGGCAAGTTTTCTCGTCATTTAAAGAGTTGGACTTGGTTACAGTCGTCGACCGCTTTAGTCGGTGAAGAGCGGGCGCTGAGTGTTGAACGGAGGAGCATGCATGGGATGGGTGGTGAAGAGTGAGCTCCCTCGATGAAGACTGTGGCAGTCGACGTTAGACAACAGGCAGGGCAGTCATCGATTCTATCATTCTTCTTCTTATGGTGAGCTATACTCCCGGTGAGAGCAAGGCCGTGAAACGGTTAGCACTTGCGGTAAAGAGAAGGACCGAAGGATGGAAGGAGCATACCTTGGCAAGGCCAGACTTGGATCAGATCAATATCTACACAGAAGATCTCAAGTTCCACTGCTTGGGCTGGCAACCAAGATCTTTCTTGTTTTCTCTTTGCCTGAAAAGAGTCAGTGTTTACCTGCATGCAAAATCACACGAGCACACGCAAACACCAAGTAGCGACGGTAGCCACCGGTCACGATCACAACCTCTTTCATATTCTCCTGCCGGCCGGCCGTCTAAGATCTAACAAACATCACCTCCATAACTCCCATCTGTCCAACTCCCTCGCAAAGGAACCATCCAACACCCCTTTAAGTTATCCCTCCTCTCCATCAGCATCAATACCCCTCCCGCCTACTAACCCCATTAACCAACCTCTCCCCCCTCCCCACCCTCCCCAGATTCTCCTCCAGAATCGCCAACACCCTTTCATTATACCTCGTACTCGCCCCACTCACATGCGGCGTAACAATCACGTTCCTCGTGCTCCAAAGCCTATGTCCATCCGGCAGTGGCTCCGGGTCCGTAACATCCAACGCCGCGCCCCTAATCCACCCCTTTTCCAGCGCCTCAATCAGTTCATCCGTATCCACCACCGGGCCCCTCGCAATATTTGACACGAAAGTCCTCCCCCTTTCTTCCAGTTTTCCCGTCTCTTCATCCACGACCTTAACAGTAGGCGAAGCCTTGTACAAAACTTCAAACTCCTCTTTACCCAGTAAGTGCTTCGTCCCTGGCGTCAAAGGGGTGGATACCACCAGGAGATCTAACCCGCTGCGTAAAAAGGTATGTAAGTCCTCCTTGGTAGATCCAGAGAACCATTTAGAGGGAAATACGCCGTCGGGATCGCCCATTCCGGAGGGGGCCCAGCTTCGGTCTTTGCGGGATTCGGGCGTCGGGCGCGGATGCAGCGTGAAAGCGTGGACGCGCATGCCCATGGCGACGGCGAGACGGGCAGTTTGTCTGCCGATGGCGCCGTAGCCGAGGATACCGATGGTTTTGGCGGTGGCGTCCTGGATGGAATCGGACTTGGCGCGGGACCAGTGGGCTTGTTGTTGGAGGGCGAGGTAGTGGGGGAGATGGTGGTTGAAGGCGAGGTAGGTGAGGAGGAGCCATTCGGAGATTTGGGGCCTACTTCTGGTCAGTCATGCACGGGTTGGACAAAGAAAGAAAAAGGGAAGAAAAGGAGGGAAAACAGGGAAAGGGAAAAACAAACCCATGAACACCATTAGCAGTACAAAACTCGACCTCGGTCTCTTTGAAAAGCGGATGATCCAGGATATGGTTCGCTCCGGCGCTGATTAGCTGGACATACTGCAGCTTGGGCGCATCTTTGGGTTGCGGGAGATAGGTAAAAGTCAAGGCGATGGTGACGTCTTTCCACTGTTCGATGGGGAAAGGAGACTCCCCTGCTCCGGTTCCTGGGGCCCTCCATTCGGACTTGTGGCATTCGATGACCAAGTCGGGAAACTGTTTCTGGAGAGAATCGATGTAGTCTGGGGTTGGTTCCCAGGGAGTGATGAAGACGAGTTTGTGGCCTTTGAGAGTTGGGTTGGTTTTTCTCTCATTGTCGAGGGAAGAGAATTTGATGAGCGTCATTGTGAGGTTATTGTGGTGTTTTTGGTCTGGCCGTGGTGTTGATGTTGATGTTGAACCGGAATGTCTTTTTGTTTTTGAGACGGAACTGTCACAGTAATGGAATTCAAGGACGACGAATGATTACCAATATCCAAGACGGAAGACCCCCCCGGCGACAGCGACGTCCCCGTAGTGCGATGCGGGGTTAGTCTGGCGCTATCTCGCGTCATTCTTCCCGGGGTTTTATGGGGTTCGTTAACTCTGGCGGGTGCGGGAGGACGTGGGGGTTCCGTCCCGTCTCGGCATTATCGCCGATCTGCGTCTATCAAGTATCTCTTCCATGTTCATTCCTGTTGCCACGAAACTCGACATTTGGTCTGTCTTTTCCATGGCTCAGTCAACATGCCGTTGAAGTTGTTGACCATTTATCAGATGGTCAACGACCTTGTATGAGTTTAACTTTCTTTGTTCTCCATTCCATCCATCCAGACCTAAGCTGTTAAAGACCAAAATAAAGCACTGCGAACTCAATTGACTCCAAGCCACCCATAGCCACGAGTCGTCGTCTTCCTTCTCCTTCTCGTTTCAATCGTCATCATCGTCCATAATCCATCATTGCCCTCATATCATCCATCTTCATCCGTCCGTGCTGTATCCCGGAACTGTTACTCTCCTTGCCTCTCGACCTCATATCTTCGAACGTCTGACTGTTGTGTCTTGGAGGGACACGCCTTCTAGGCCTCAACCGCATCGTCAACCGCGCCGAAGCAGGTTTCCACTGAGTAGAGAGGTATAATGTCAGTACCTTGCTGTGGACCATAAGACGGAAAGAGGGTAGTAAGAAAAGAAAGAAAAAAACGTACTGATGATGCCAGTAATGAGATAAGGATCCGCGTTGGAAGCAGGACGACGATCCTCAAAGTAACCGTAGCCCTTGGCGGCGCACTCGCGAGGGATACGGATGGACGCGCCACGGTTGGCCACGCCGTAGGTGAAGGTGTCGATGGCACCCGTCTCGTGACGACCGGTGAGACGCTTTTCGTTGCCTTCGCCGTAGACTGTTTCCCCCGCATTAGCCTCCAGCCCCAGTCCCACTTCCATTTCTTCCCATGATCGGACAAACTCACCAGCAATATGCTCCTTATGCCTTCCCTCCAGCTTCTTGATGGCCGCCTCGATCTGCTTCATGCCGCCCTCCTTCCTCATCTCGACCGTCGAAAAGTTGCTGTGCAGACCGGCACCGTTCCAGTCGCCAGGGATGGGCTTGGGATCGAGCGACACCTTGACGGCGAACTCCTCAGCTACGCGATGCAGCAAGAAACGGGCGAGCCAGAGCTGGTCGCCCATCTCGATGCCGACGCAGGGGCCGACTTGGAACTCCCACTGGGCGGGCATGACTTCGGCGTTGGTACCCGAGATCTTGATGCCCGAGTACAGGCAGGCGCGGTAGTGCGCTTCGACAATGTCGCGCATCACCACCTTGCCGGCGCCAACGCCGCAGTAGTAAGGACCTTGCGGGGCGGGGTAGCCTGCATCTTGTTAGTGTGTGGACATGGGCATGCATGAGCCGATGGGAAGGGCATACCGTTCTGAGGCCAGCCGTAGGGACGATCATTCAAATCGAGAAGGGTGTATTCTTGCTCGAGACCGAACCAAGGCTCGTGCTTGGCGTGAAGCTCCATGAGCTTGGCGCACTCGTGGCGGTGGTTGTACTTGTTAGGGGTGCCGTCGGCATCCCAGCATTCGGCGAGGACGAGAATGTCTACATGTACAGTTAGCAACAAGACGACGTGCAGGTTGCAAGATGAACTGGTGGCTTACTGTTGGGAGGGCGGAAAGGATCGGGGTAGACGGCGACTGGCTTCCTGTAAAGTGATGGTGATGGTCAGTAACGGATGCGCCAGTTTCATCATCATCACCATCAAGCGCATAACGACTTACAGGTAAACATCCGAGTTGTCACCGGGTGCCTGGCCTGTTGAGCTGCCGTCAAAGTTCCAGATGGGGAGCTCCTCGGGCTTGTAGCCCTCTGGCTTTTCATCGAGCGTCTGTTCATGATTAAAAAGTTAGTTTTGATTTCCTTTTGGTCAATTCCTCTTGGTAATTGCGCAAATCCCAATTGCTGCAGTGGTGACGGGAGATGGGTGGTGGTGGTGGTCTGATCCCGAGCAGGGTGGCGATAAGATAAGACGTACGCGAGACTTTGAGCGGGTGTTGCCTGTAAGTTTGAAAGATTGCCTGTCAATTTGCCATTCTTTTCTTTTGACAATCGGGTGGAAAAATACATACCCTCAGAATCAATCCAGATGTACTCGGCCATGACTGTTTTGGCGTCAAATGTCAGTGTTTAGTATGGTATAACAACACCCAAAGTCGGACATGAACGCACTCTTGCCGTGCTGGTCGAGATCGCGGAACTTGGCCAAGATGGCCGCATTGGACGCGAAGGACTCCTTGGTAGCCTGTTGTGAAGCCATCTGTTAACCTATTTGTTCTCGAATGTGTGGTTTCAAGGTCTGAACTGGATTCCAGAGGAAGAAGCAGTGGTGGTTTTGATAGCGGCGGTGACGAACCATTGTGGTGTGCGAGTTGTGTAAGTATTAGGTCTGTATTGGTAATGGTATGTATGATGTCGCAAAAGTCCCAACACCTCGCTAGCACGTAGCAGCAGCAGCAGTCGCAAGTCGCAAGTCGCAGTCGCAAGACGAAAAAAAAACAACCACGTCCCAACGTTGAACGTGTTCACAAAGACTGAGTGGTGATGGAGAACAAAGAGAAAACGCAATGGAATGGAGAGATAGAAGAGGTGAGAGAGAGAGGAAAAGGACGCGCGCGTTCCTGGCGACGGGAACGGGTCAAAGATAAGGAAACTCGCTCGCTTCACGGTTCGTTGCGGCGCAGTCAGCCAGCAGCCGAGTGTGCCCATGCTGCGGTGCGGTCTGGAAACCAACATGGTGCTGCCCGCCCGTGACTTTCACGTTACCATCCGATCGCATCCGAACATGTCACTGCGTTTGCCTTGGGTCTAGACTTTTTCTAGTGTGTAGCTATTTGGCGCGGTGTAGGGTGTAGAGGTATGAGGTAGCGATGATGAGGTAGCGGGGTCCATCTTGGAGACATGGGATCATGATCTGATGTGTTTGTGTTTTTGCCGTGTGTGTGTATTTCTGTTTCGTGATAGCAATGCCATGGCGGAATAGAGACACACGACGTGAAAGTCTCGGATTATCCGCATGAGCTTCATTTGCTTCTCTTTCCATCCTTGGATCAACCTGGAAGGATCGATGCAAGAAAAGGGTTCCACCGGTCATCGGCCCATTCTCCCCTACAACAACGAAAGGACCAGAAGTGGTGATTCCAAGCTTTTGTTAGTGGAGCGAGTGCTCGCAGTGAGACCCGACAGAGGAAGGTGCGGTGACACGCTACTGCGCTGTTGACCTCTGATCTCCCGCCGTGGAGATTCACAAGGGAAGCTGGCTCATGAATGCTTATTCTGACTTCCCTTCCTTACCTAGGTAGTTGCCCGTGTTGGTATTTTCATCCATCCAATCCATCTTACCTCTTCCTGCTTTTCTGCCCTCTGCCCTCTGTCCTCCCATCACCGAAATGGACTTCATCTGTTCATTGTTCCCAGATCTCCCCTTTTCGAGAAGATGAAAGAAACTCGGGCCATCCCCGCTACCCCACTAGAGGTACATCCGCCTCAAACCGCTTTCCGTCGTATCACGGGCACTGCACTGCACTGCACTGCACGCATCACCCACACCTCAGCACACTGCACTTCCATTCTCCAATCCCTTGGCACCGGTATATGACAGGTAAACCCGTCTTCAGCCTATCTACACTACACATAATCAGGCACTCCAGTCCTCACCGCCCCATTGGCCACTTGTTGACTTTCTTATCCAATCTCATGACTGATGGTGTCTCTGGTCTCTGCCCCTCGATGACCGCCGCCCCCCTGGGCCCCTGCCGAGCTTCAGCTGTTGGCCTGGCTGCTATCAATGCCCACCCCGCATTTTCTTCAGGTGCACTGCACAGAGCAGGGCCAGGCCAGGCAGAGTGCAGACACACGTGGGGCTCCGCCTTTTCTTATCATTGAGCTGTGATTGGATGAACACTGCTCTGGTTCGTCGTTTCGTTGTTGGAGCTTCCACTTTGGAAAACTGAACCAAGCAGAAGCTCGCAAGATGATGTTCCTTCGTTCTTGTTGGAAGATTGGAAGCTGGAGGTGGAAGCTGTCCCGAATCACTGGTCCAGTCCAGTGACCACCTACCTACAAGTAGTGTACTACGCCAGGTAACGTTGGAGCGGTAGGCAAGGAGGAATCGTTGCAGATGCCCAGCTTTCTTTCCCAGCTTCGACTTCTTCTCTTGCAGCTCCTTCGTTCTGCTGCTTCATCCAAAAATGACGAGGAGCACGCGGGGTTTCCATTCATGTTGTCAATTTCCATGTTTCCTTTTCCTCCCGTGCCAATCACCTACCCACCACCTGGAAGCCATTCCATTTTCAGGGGACGGATGACGAACCTTGTTCGACCTAAGATGGGAGTACACACCACACCACATTACACCTCACCACAACTACCTAGTCTAGTGTACAGGTACAGATTGTGACTCGTGCTTTTGGAATGTTTAAACTTGTCTCGCCTGTTTCTGTACGTACGGGCGAAGCAAGGTGTCTGCCTACCTCTAGGTCCTCCCCTCACTAGACCCGGATGGCCCCTCCCGTCACCGGAGGCAGGCAGGCAGGCAGACGAGTAGTGTGACATCACGCAGGGCGGACGGGCGGGTCAGGCTGTTTGTCGACAGTGACGGTGAGATGTGATGACTGGAAATGAATGATCATAGGGCGAACCGTAAGGCTGATTGATAACGGGGTGGAGCATTCCACTTCCACTTTGTACTTGGGTAGAATTAGTGCGTGAACTTATCGCGACGGAAGCTCTTATCATAAGCCATGCCTGTCTGTCTCTTGGCTTGAGGTTCTCTGCTGGCCTGTCCAAGACAGCGAGGTCCTCACGACATACGCAGATATCACCAGCCATTAAATACCAAGCATATTTAGCGAGTTAAATCATCTATCTTCGCAACCACGGCAGACCACTACATAGCCCACCCTCAAGCAGGCTCATCATCCCCACCCCCCATCGCATCCGTCGCTACTTCCTGACTCCTTCCATAAATGCCCCCATCCAAAATGACAGCCTCGTTATCATCCCGATCATCCTGCACCCTCCTCCACCTTGTCCTCTTATCCCTCCTCCCTTCCAACTCGGCGGCCCCCTTTTCTTTCAAATCTGCCGGTGATTCATAAACAGGCTTAATCATGCCTCCCAACAAGGGATTCTTGCTAAACGCACCACCACCACTCGTCCTCGACGACGCAACATGATACTCCCCCGGCCCACTGAATTCGTCGGGTTCAGACTCCGGAGTGACAGGTCTCTCCACCTTGGTCACCTTTCTAAGCACCTTCTTGCCCACCAGATCGATACTAAGCACCTGCTGCCGTTTCTCATACTCTGGGCGAGCATTCCACTCCATCTCCCTCATCAGCTTCTGCTGCTTCTTGAGCGCTAGCGCCCTCTCTTCAGGGGAAGCCCACATGCTTCCTCCCATTGCCGTGACGTCAAAGTCCGCCGCTTCGTCTCTGACCGTCGTTCTTTGCGCGTTTTCCGCTTGGAAATTCAACAGCTTGTCGCGCTGCTCGATAGCTTTTTGCTTTGCTGAGTGTGTCGCTTGCGCCTGTTGAGCTTGTTGTTTCGCCGCCGCCTCCTGCAACGTAGGCGCGTCCTCGTACTCATCGCCATAACCTCTCGGTCGAGCAAACGGCCTGGGCACACCGCCTACATCAGCCTTCTTGTTGGCTGCGCGGTCGGCAGCCATCTTCTCGCGGCCGCGCTCGGCTTTGAGTTCTTTGATCATTTGCTGGATCTCGGAGGGGGAGAGCAGAGGGTGGCTGCAGAAGGTGCAGGGGCCTAGACCTTCTTTGACGCAAATGACTTTGCCGCAGTTGAGGCAGTTGGGTGCCGCAGCGAGCAAAGGATGGCGCGCCGCGACGCAGTTGCACCGACGAGAGGCGATGCCTGAGGATGAGTTGGAGGTGTGTGTGGGGTTGGTGGTGATTTCGAGTTGGCGGATGGCGTCGTCGAGGTCGGAGAGGGCGGTGGAGGCGCCGTGCATGGGAGTACCGCCGGCGATGGAAATCTTGGTGGCATTGTTCTTGCCGTTGTTGCTTGGGCCGGGCGTCGAGGTGCGGGAAACGGGATTTGATTTGGGCTTTGGTTTGCCTAGGTCGGAGATTAATGTGCCATGGGCGGATGGTGGTAGTTTCGGTGTCGGCTGGGCGGGTTGTGCGGTAGATTTGGGTGGTGGTGGCGGTTTGCTCGGCCCTCCGGCTTGCTCGTTCGATGGTGTTGTTGGCTTGGACCTGGCCGAGATGTATTCGAGATCGGCATCCTTCTTGTTGTAAGCCTTCGTCCCTGGCGCGAGAGCAAAGTTTGTGACTTGGCGAGAAGGTTGGGCTTGTAATGGTCCCTGCTTCTTCTTTGGTTTGCGCTGGGGCTTCGGGACTCGATCGATATCTGAATTGGGAGCCGAGTTCTGTGCTGAGCTGGGTGCTGACGGTGTTCGGGCGGCAGAAGACGGGGCCGGTGGCGCTTTTGGGTCGGCGCGACGGGCGTTGAAGGTTGAGATAAAGTCGATGACGGCCGGAGAGTCGCCGAGAAGATTTGTGAAGTGGTCAATTGCTTCGGTCTTGGAGAGCGTCGAGGCGTAATCTAGGACTTGCTTGAGGTCTTCGTCCGGCAGAGGGAGGAGCCGGGAGAGCTGTTGTTGCGACATTGGTTCCGGCGGGTCTGTCTGTGATTAACGGGCGATCAAAAGTATTATTGTCGGTTTTGAGGTTATGTAAAAAGCCAAAAGTTGGCTGTTCAAAAAGTCGCCGTGTTTTGTAGTTGTATGATGATGTCAATGTAAACATCGGAATTGGTGAGTCTACGCCGGCGACCAGAGCCAAGTTGGGAAAGAGGCGATAACGTAATCGCTGGCTTGTGGGGCTTGGGGATTCTCCAACTATGTAGGTGGGAGCGCCACGGGTACGTATCTTGTGGCTGACGGTTCGTCGGGGAAAATGAGGCTTGAGAGTTCTGCTTTCAGGGGGGGCAGACACGGCCCCACCCGGCGCCGTTCAGGCTCCCCCGCAATGATCTCCGTTCTCGGTGCTCAATCCCGGATCTTCTTTCCCCGCGTCATCAACCTGTCCCAACTTTGACAGCGAACCATAGCTTTCAAAGAATGGCGCTCCGGAATCAAGAGTTATTCTGCTCGTCACGCATAAGGCAATCAGCATAAAGACGGCTTGACTGGTTCCGGGACGGCTCACGGCCGCAGACGTCCCGTTTGCTTTTATCCTCCGATTTATCCACCCGAGAACCAATGTACGCCAAGGAATACATTGAGAGTAGGACGGGATACAGAGCAGCGGGATACTATGGCAGCACATCGGTACCGGGTCTCTGCTGCCGACTGTCGGCGTCTTTGTCGGCATCTTCGCGTGAAAGAAACATGAGGGATCGCAAAGGGCCAAGATGAACAAGATTGGAAACATCCTCCAAAAGTCCGCGTTTGCGATATAAACCGGCCTCGCCATGTGCTTCTCCGACATGTCTTCCATCTCAAGCAAAGGGAGCTTTGTTCTGTTCCTGCCCCAAGATCATGTCACGAAGGATTCTCTTGTCGGCCTTACTGGTCACCGCCGTGTCCGCTCAACAGCCAGGCAAACTGACACCCGAAGTTCATCCCAAACTTCCAACATGGGCGTGTACCGTCGCCGGCGGCTGTATTCAGAAGGACACATCCTTGGTCCTCGACTCTGACTACAGATGGGTACACACGGACGACTACACCAACTGCAAGACCAACGGTCTCAACCCAGCCGTATGTCCCGACGCCGAGACATGTGCTGCCAACTGTAACCTCAAGGGCGTCGACTACACTGGATCTGGGATTCACACCAATGGTAGCGAGCTTACCCTGAACCTCTTTGTCAACCGGACCGATGGGACCACCAGTCTTGTCTCCCCGCGAGTCTACCTCCTTGCCAACGAGACGACCTACGACATGTTCTCGCTCCTGGACAAAGAGTTTACATTTGATGTGGACGTCAGCAAGCTCCCATGTGGCACCAATGGAGCTCTTTACTTCAGTGAGATGCTCGCCAACGGAGGCAAGAGCTCGCTGAACCCAGCCGGCGCAAGCTATGGCACGGGCTACTGTGATGCCCAGTGCCCTAGTCCAGCATTCATCAACGGCGAGGTATGTTCTTCCTTTCTGCCTTGCTTCTCGTCCCAGTCCTAACCCACAACCAGGCCAACCTCGAATCCTACGGCGCCTGCTGCAACGAAATGGACATCTGGGAAGCCAACTCCCGCGCCACCGCCTTTACTCCTCATCCCTGCAACGTTACCGCGCTCTACAAGTGCTCCGGCGCTCTCTGCGGTCGTACCGACAAATACCAATCCGTCTGCGACAAGGACGGCTGCGACTACAACCCCTACCGCCTCGGTGACCACCCTTACTACGGTCGCGGCGAGGGCAACAAAGTCGACACCACGCGCCCTTTCACCGTGGTCACTCAGTTCTTCAGCAACACAACGAGCGCCGGGGAGAAGGAATTGTCGGCCATTAAGCGGCTGTACCTCCAGGATGGCAAACTGATCAGCACTTCCACCATCGTCGTGCCTGGGTTCGATTCAACGAGCGATACCATCACCGACGATTATTGCGCCAAGAACAAGCAGATCTTTGGGAGTCAACGCGTTTGCCAACCAGGGCGGACTGCGACAGATGGGCGAGGCGCTGCATCGGGGCTTGGTTCTGGTTTTCAGCGTATGGCATGATGCGGGAAGCGCGATGAAGTGGTTGGATGGGACGTTCCCTTCCGGTGCTGATCCGGAGACACAGCCTGGGACAGAAAGGGGCCCGTGTCTGCCGGAGGAAGGGCATGCAGATGATATCCAGAGAGATGCGAGCTGGACAGAGGTCAAGTTCAGTAATGTGAAGAGTGGGGAGATTGGGTCGACTTTCAAGGTTTGAAGGGAAAGGACAAGGGGAGGCAAAAGGAACATGGCTGGCCGCCATGAGCCACTGGTTGCTGTTCTGGTGTTGTTCAAGAGGGCTTGAGATTGAAGCTCTACAGTGATGTCTTCTGGTAACATCCATCTCTACTGACCACAGATACCACATGAATATCCCGAGCAGCAGATCATGTTCACACACTGTTGTTGTTGATGCCCTCTTCGAAGTGGCGATGTGGTTGGGAACTTCAGCATACGTATTCATCCCGGCTTCGACACAATCATAGTAACTTGCGGAATCCCCAATGAATTACCATGCGAGGAGGCACAGAATTGGATAGGCCCAATGGCTCTGTAGTACTTGCCATCTTCCGTCTCAGGTATTCAGGTTGTTTCGGTTCTCAGCCTTGCCAAAGTGGAAGCCAAGCAGGTGCAAAGGACACTGGAGCCCATGGAATATGTCAGCGCCTGCCACCATTTGATGGACACCTGTCTACAAGCTGCCTACTCCGGTTGGCCACGTCCGATTATTTATTTCGATATCCCGCTTCCAGTTCTCTCCCCAACAGGTCTCCTCCTTCACCATCAATCCCACAACACAATGACCGCTCATTTCGTTACGGCCTATGTCGTGAAAGCACATTCCTTACCGACGCTCTCAGGGTGACAGGAAGTTGAACAGTTGATCATAGTCAATCTTCTCTCAACAAAATCAGATTTGGACAGATTGCTATCCACGAGGTTGGATCTTGACTAGCCACGTCACCATCATCAATCATCACTCCGCTTCCAATTGCCAGATGCCACATCAATTCCTATACTGTTAGACCTGCACATAACGATCAGCCATATAACGATATTCTGACCATAACGTTCAAGAACACGGTAACGGTGCAGATTTATATGGGAGTAACGATCAACCTTCGTATTACGATTTCGATCAGATTTTGAAGGCGAGCCACACCAAAATCGTTATACTTAGGGGGTTTGGTTCAGTTCCGAGACGTCCAGTAACAGGCCGTTACAGCTCGTAACAGCCGGTAGTGGGTCCTTTCAGCTGTTAGCGGCCTTCTGATTAGTACAGAAGCCCAAACTAGGCTACTTGAGAGTAACGATAACCTGGGTATTACGATCAAAACCTCCGTAACGCACTTGATCGTTATGTGCAGGTCTAACAGTATCTGATTTCCCTCCGTCTCCTTGACCGACGCCCAACTACCCCTTTTGTCCACGATAATCCGCGCGGTATGCCGCCAAGGTTACCCGTCCCAGTCTCCAACATCCTCTTCATGGGTCTCCTGAATCTGAGGCGTATAGACAGCAGGCTGAGTGCAAGGCTTTCTGTTGAATATACATCACATAGCGGTTTGGCATGTGTGGCGGTGTTGCGCAAGCAGGGGGGCTGAGTGCAGATATACGCGTACACTACCAAACTCCCCTGGCCATGACCCTAAGCCTGTTCGAGCAACTTAGCTCCATCGTCTCACCATTCATCGAGGTCTTATGTAAGATTCAACACCACATAATTTTCCATGGCCACTTGTTCCAGTGTCCTGTCTAGACCAACGATTTACAACATCAACAACAATCAAGCTCGGTGCGCCGACAGGAACTCCATACTTTCAGGAATCTCAACAGCAGCCCTCACCATACCTACCATGGCCATTTCCTTCCACCTCTTCCCCCATCTCCCATGGGAGATTCGGTCCCGGATATGGGAACTTACTATCGAGCCTCGCATGGTTGACGTCCGTATCTCCCACGAGTGGGATGACCTTAGCGACGATGTGAAAGCCAAGTACAACCATTCAAGGCTCGGCCTCCTTCGTTTACGCTCATCCACCCCCGTGCCTGCACCGTTACAAGCTTGTCGAGAGGCCCGGAGCCACCTCGGGCACCGATTTTACCACAAGGCCTTCAAACAGTTGCCCGCTGCGAGGTCAAGCTCGGAAACAGTGAGGTGCGAGACACCCGAGGACCGGCTGGAGCTAGGTCTGGAGGCAGAACCGCGCTACATCTGGGTCAATTTCGACGTGGACCTGGTCGACACCGGGGACACTCCTTTCAAATACTTTGAATCCCATTTCTTGGACCTCAAGCGGTGGAAATTTGCGCGGGACAGATATTCGATGGGTGATGAAGCCAAAGTCTTGGGCAAAGTCGTCAATGCAAAAGAGATTTTTGCCGTTTGTCTAGGCCCCCGCGGAGCTAGCGATTGGGAAGCCACGTATGAACAATGCTGTGTCCCCTGCGACAAAGCCAGGTTCTGGCTCATCGATCCGATTCACGGGCGGACGGTGACCGCGATCGAAAATGACGCCTTATGCGATGAAGCGTGGGTTAGAGACTACAGGAAAGCCGGTGCCTACCTCGACCCTGCTACTATGCAGCCTTTTGTGCCTTATCTCCCGCCCGGCTGGTTCGAGGGACGGGAACGATGGGATGTAATTTACCGTTGGAGCAGGGGCTACGAGGAATCCTACAGGTAGACGGGGTTTGCAGTCTACAATTGAGCACGTTCGCAAGCTGGGTTCTAAAGAGGAGAGGAGAAGAGAGGGTGTTGATGATGGTCGCATTGATCTTTCCTACCTACCTATCGATTGAGGCGCAATACCCAATTCCCTTCCGTTTGTCTCCTCGATGCATCCCCAATTCCTGCCACTGTCCTTAGCAACCTTCAAGCACGTACCCTACCTTGTCTCAAACCTCTTCTTCTTGTTCCCTTCTAAACTTTCTCCAACAACAACCATGCCCCGTTCTTCACATCATCACAGTCATCCAACCCGCATGGCTGGCTGTATCCATCCCTGCTTCCTCCCTTCGTTTAATACTCAAGATGTCATCCTTTCCGCTCCATCTCCTCTTGTGCTCCCCTGAGTTCCCTCCGACATAAAACATACCTATGTCGGCACAGCAGACGGCTCCCCCCTCCCTCCCCCCTCCCACCAACACCACCGGCGGCGGCTGCCTAGGTACCTCGAGCAAATCACGATAAGCCCACCTCAAGACCTTGCCGCCCCGTCGGTGATTGAAGGTATCACCCCCTCACACACCTCCCTCCACGTCGTGCTCGCCGTCGTCGCTAACACAGTAGCACTAACATGCAGATTCGGACATCCGACCGCCCATTTCTCGGTGACACTCACGTACATGCACCCATGGCAGTTGATGGGTTTGAGTAACGTGGTGGTGGATGGCCACATGGTTAGAGTGCCTTCCCAGGTGGGTGGGGGGCATGGGCGGTTGTTGTTGTTGTTGCTGGTTAGGGTAGTGGTACAGGGGCGGAGGGACGGGAGGGACGGGAGGGTGTCGCTTTGGAAGAAGCTGGGTTCGGAGCTGGGTTGGAAGATGGGTTCGGAGCTGGAGGTTTGGGTTGGGGAATCGAGGTGGATGTCGGTTGATTCGTAGAAGGAGGAGGGGTCGGTTCCAGGAGGATGGGAGGGGATGGTGGGTGGGACCGGTGGGGTTGGGATGATGCCCTTGGTGTTGGCGAGTGGTAATGTGGGAGCGGTGGAGGTGGTGGTTGTTGTCGTTTCGAAGGAGTCGGAGGAGTTGGAGGAGAGAGATTGGTGAGAAGAAGGGAGGTTGATGGCTGAGGAGAAGGCGGGAGACATGAATATGGTGGAGAAGAGGAGGAGGAGGAGAAGACAGAGGGTCGGCATTTTGTTGAGGTTGGGGTTTGTGGTGGTTAATATCGTAAGTGTTGAAGGACTGTGGTGATCTTGGGTCAATCTCTGTTGTGTTTTTGACTGGATGGTTGTGGACTGACGGGAGTACAGAATCGATGTGTTTAACAAGAGCCGAATCGTTCAAGTATTCCCTCGACGCCCAACTTCTAGTCCCAACTCAGCGGGACACGCAGCTTGCGTCCAACACAGTGACAAACGGCGTCACTGGCACGAGCCTCGACGTCGCTCTGGTGTCCAAGTCTTCTCTCACATCTTCATGGTACCCATTGACAAAGGCATCTATCTCTGTCTGCTTTTCCCGTTCAATGATAGTGCGGTGTCTAGGTTTGTAAAATATGTGGAAGACGGGAGGTAGGTGGGATGCCAGAAATTGTGTCAGAAGTACAGTCCGTTGTCGTACGGCCTCGTGTTGGTTGGGCAGACGTTCGGCGGTCGTTGATCCGGGTTTCTTGAAAGTCAAGCTTTCTTCTTTTATTCGACATTTATGTTGACATGTCTTTATGGTCATCAGAGTGCAACGTGAATTCAATTTTTTTTTTTGGAAACTGTTAAGTACCTACAAAGGGCCAGTTGACAGTGTCGTTACGTTCCGCATTCAACTTAAATGAACCTGGATCGAAACTTGTGTGATGGCTGGTACCGAATGGATGATGTCTGAGGCTACATCCACAATAGGTATCAAAGGCGGAATGGAACATGGAACATCGAACAAGAAAAGGAAAGGAATGTGATGGTGTTCCGGTGTATCACAAGCCGGGTAAAAGGGACGGGCTACGATGTTGGTGATTGGGTGAGGAATACAAACTTACACACACGGAGACATGGGTGTAATGGCCACGAGGGCTAACCAGGGCATGAGCCGTGGAATAGCTGAAAGCTTCCATTGTTATAAGTAGCTGGCCGCTATCATCAAACGTGGTCGTCGGTTTTTGCGGGCTTGAGTGTTCAGCCGCTTTCGTGGCTTCGGGCTTGCCGTTCATGTATTTCCATGCTTTGGCTTTTGGGACGGGCATGAGGTTTATGATCATCTCGATCGGTGGTGACCCATGGAAGCTTGCGTGACGGAAACGCAACACCCTGTGAAGTTAACGACGGGTTCGTGAACAGATGTCTCCAGTCAAACAAAGACTTTCTCCGCTTTGCCCTTGTTATCACCCAATAATTCCATATAAACCCCGTCTTCTTAACTCCCCTTTCAGCTCACATTGATAGAGGTAGATACCTATCCAAAAAAGGCTCTCAAGGCCGTCCATTCACTGCCTGCCAGTTCGGCTCCCAAAGGACCCAACCACACTCTCGCCAAGTCTGGGGATTGGGGATCTCTAAAGTTTGGAATCACAAGTACGGGTGGGTGTAACCCCAGGGGCAGGCCGCCTAAAAATAGGCCAACCAGCCTTGGTATGGCGTGGTACTGGAACTCTGGAAGGACGCTAATGCGTGCGATACATTGCACGTGTACATGTAACTGCGTACAGCTACCTAGTACATATGTAGGCCTGTCCAGGAATACCGCAACCTCGGAATTCTAAACTGGGAAAGCTTCAGGGTTTGTAAAAAGTTGGAAAGGTGCGCACAGATGAAAAGGATTGGGGAGCAAATAGGGAGATGGACCAGAGGGATCAAAGATGGATTATGTTACCCCTTTATCTGTTCAGAGTCCGGTCCGAATTACGAGCTGTAAGTGTACTGTAGAGGCAGTTTTCCAAGCCGTTGATATTTCATTGAGTAGGTATATGTGTTTGGATATTTGCTAAACTAAACGCCATATCATTAACTGTCTAATCTTTCAGTTCTGTTCATGTCAAGGCGTTTGAAGGTCGAATCAAGACATGTTAGATAGCTAGGAGAACTGGGAGGAGGACAGGGAATGAACGCAAAGGAAGCTTAGCGTACAGCGGCCGCTAACCAAAGCGACATTTGACCCTTGCAGTCCCCGTCGTTTTGCAATTCTCTGATCCTGAGTATGATCAACAAACAAGCTTCACAATATTCCAGAGGCCCAAACTATCGACTGTAGCTTCAGTACTCTTCCAATCGCAATGGGCACCAATTATATCCCGAAGTGTCTTTCACCAACAAAGTAGATCCGACATCATTCACCCCTCCCGAGCTCCCTCGACATCGACATCGACATCAACCGACGTCCTCGTTCATTCAACCTTCAACAATAACATCCAACTCCAGTCGCCGACGACCAGAGACTTGCCTAGACAAACCATGGCCGCTTCGTGAATCTATCTACCCGACTTATCCAGCAACAGATTATGAAGAATGCCCATCCGCGCTCCATGCCCACCCAGCACACGTCTTTCAATGCTTGTCTCTGTCCTCGCCAACGTCACAAGTTGCGACTTGCGCAGCCACCACATCTCCGGTCGCCCGATGCTCGCTCGATGTCCACGGCCACGACCACACCATACGGCAACCTCGCTTACCAAGACGCGGGATATTTGGGAAACCATCCTCATCTTTTCTACAAGGCATCAAGCATATCACACACGTACGGGCAAGTAGCGGTTTGACATCACGTTTCAGATTCTTAGGTCGATAGCAGGCAGTCTTTTACATCTATCTGCCCTCTGCTCTATCACCAGCTTAATCAGATCCCCATATCGTTTCTTGACCACCTCGACGACAATTGAGATGAAATCTCACATTGACTGATTTGAGTGTAGTAACAGGTCGTGCAAAATCCCCCTTCTTCTTCCTCCTCCGTCTCTTTTTTTTTTTTTTTTTTTTTTTTTTTTTTCCTTTACTGAATTTTTTTGGCAATTCCATGTCCCCCCTGTTTCTTCTTCCTCTCCTGACCTCCTGTTCATTTCTAGTTTTCCACCTTCATCGCTTTCCATTTTCGCTTCCTGTTTACAATTCCCTCGACTCCATGAAAAGAATCAAACCCCATAGAAAACTCCTTCAAAACCTCCTCGTCCATGTGTTTTTTTTTTCTTGCATTTCGTTTCTTATTGCTCCACATGATACATTCTTCCGGCACCTCCTCAACCTACTCCTCCCTTATCAAGATCAACTCCAAACTCCAGACAAAGGGAACGACAAAAAAAAAAAAAAAACGTCCACCCCTTCCCCCCTTTCCCCCCAGGTGGCAGTAAAAATCGCCTGTGCAGATTTCACAAGCAAAAGGCATACAAAACTTGCACAAGCGATTTTTACTACCACCTACGCCCTCCCTCCCTTCCTGCATCCCCAACCCATCCTTCTCCTGTTCCTGCTCTTTCGTTACGTCCCGTTATCCACCACCCCCTCGGACCTACCCCCTCTTGAAATAATCATCACACCCAACCATCTTCATCCCTCTCATTGCGCTTGTGCCGCTGCTCTCCTTTCATGTTTTTTCCCTGCCCCTGCCCCTACTTCTTCTTCTTCTTCTTCTTCTTCTTCTTCTCCTCCTCCTCTTTTCTCCCTTTCGTGTTCTCTTCCATGTTCCCTTTCCTCCCTTCCTTCTCTCCCTGCGTCGTCCTCCGCTCTTTTGTTCTCTTCCACGGTCGAGGTCAAGGTACCTCTACCAGTTTCCTCCAGCAGCAGGTTACGTCTCCTCCTCTCGGCCTGCCCGTACGGATTAAAAGGCGAGTCCTGGTCCGAGACATAGTACACATCGGGCGGCATGATAAACTCCCAGTAGTCGTACTTGGCGTTCATAATCTCCGGCTTGGCTTCTTCGGGCGTGAGGTGGATTTCCAAAATGCCTGGGACGACGATGGTTCCACGGTGGGGGTCGTTGTAGTCGGGTGGGACGGCGCGGCGGCTTTTTTCTTGGGGGAATTGGGGTTTTGGGGGGTTGGGGTTGGGGTTGGGATTGCGAAGGGTGGTGGGCGTCCCTGGGACATTACTGTTTTCGGGGGGGAGGGAGGAAGAAATGAGGGTGGTGCCGGGCAACTTGGTGTTGGCGACGGCGCCGGCGGGAGGAGCAGCAATGAGGGTGGGAGTGGCAGTGGGAGTTGTTGGGCTGGGAGAGAAAGAGGGGGTGGCAGGAGTGGGAGTGGCGGAGAGGATAGAGGCACCGGAGGCAGCGGAGGCAGACGCAGCAGAGGCGACGCTCGTGGTCTTCAAATGGGGATGAGGAGTCCACCACTTCGGCGAGGCCTTGACTGTCAATGAAGCAGTGGCCGTCACGGAACTGCCGTTCGCAGACGTCTTGGAGACGACAATCTCCAGACCACACTTCATCCCCTTCTTCTTCTTCTTCTTCTCGTCACAACCCACCGTCGCCGTGTCCGTCGTGTCAGTCTCCTTCACCATTTTGATCCCCTTCTCCCCCCCTTTCAGCCCCTTTCGATTATGATGATGATCAATACCACCGCCCCCAATCCGTCCCCGAATCAAGTGATTCCACCACTCCTTGACCTTTTGATTCGGATAATGCAAAGAAATCAAAGCCTTGTGGTCACCACCGCGTTGGTGATGAACCTCCTCAACTTCCTCAGGTGACTCGGACGACAAGCGATGAGATTGATCCTCGGACTCCTCCTCCTCCAAAGACCCGTCGGCGGCGTTGGAGCCTTCGGTTTCTTCTTCAGTGGTGGTGCTCAGACCGCCCGTCTCCACAACACCCGAGCGAGGGAGTTTCATGAGTGCGTTGCTGCTGCTGCTGCTGCCGCCGTACTCAATAACCTCGTCATCGCCGTTGTTGTTTGCCCACGAATGATGATGACGATGAGTGACGCCTGTGACAGGTGCAGCAGGTCGCGAGGAGCGGCGCGCGTGGAAACTTCCATGTCCATGGTGGCCCTTTCCTTTACCTTTACCCTTGATGTTATTAGTAGTAGTAGCAGCAACAGTGGCTCTAATGGTGCTACTGTCCCCCTCATCCTCCTCCTCCTCCTTCTCGCTCTTTTCATATTGCCAGTACTCAAGACGGCCAGCACCGCGCTGCTGCTGCGAGAAAGCCGCAGTGGTGGAAGAAATGGCAGTACCAGAGGCAGAAGCAGAGGCAGCAGAGGCCGACGAAGCGGCGGCGGCGTGTCTAGGTGTGTTCTTGTTCTTGTGAACCACCATCTCAGCGCCGGCCGTGGGACGACTACTCGGAGCGGTAGCAGCACCACCACCACCAAGAGCAGCAGCAGCAGCATGCTTACTTGCAGAAGAAGAAGAAGACGACTCAGGGGCAACAGCAGCACCACCATACAACTGATGACCACCAGCAGCAGCTACTACTGTACCAGCGTTAGCAACAGCAGGTGCCGCCGCCGTCACCGCTGGACGACGAGTAGCAGCAGCAGCGGTAGCTGCAGAATAACGGCCCGGACCTCCGAGAGTGTGGATGCCTCCACTTCGTGGTGTATTTCCCACCACCCACTCGCCGCCGCCGCCTGCTGCGCGGCTACTGCTGGCGCTACTTTTCCCTTGTGCCCCTGGTGGTGGTGGTGTGAGTGTAGGCCAACCGTGGTACTGCTGGTCGCGATCACGACGGCGAGCAAAGTTGTTGTTGTTGTTGTTATTGTTGTAATGGTTGGCGCTGTCGACGTTGTTGTTATTGTAAGGGGGGTAGTAGGTCTGTTTGTTTGTTGCACTTGTTAGTAACTTCTTCTCTTTTTCACAGTGAAAGGGGGAAACATAAGTGCAAAGAGAACAAGGGCAAAAAGAAAAGTCAAGTAAAGGAAGAAAGGGGAAGAGGAAGAAACAAAAGGAGAAAAGGGGAAGGGGGAAACAAAAAGAAAAAAAACTCACCCTCCCATCCGCAAGAGGCACACCTTGGCCCCCCTTCTGCATCATTTTCGAGTTATCTGCGTGCAACCCCCCCTCCGCTCCTGTCCCATACTTCTCTCCCTTTTCCAAGTTCGTAACCGCCCCTGAACTCTTCTTAGAGGTCGGCTCCCTGCTGGCAGTAGCAGTAGGAGTGGCAGCAGCAGTTTGAGTGGGAGTAGACTCAACCGCCCCCGCCGCAGCCGCCCCCTCCTTGGTACCTCTACTGACAGGTACAGGGATCCTCGGCTTCGTCCAGGACTCACCCCTTTTATCATACGCGTTACCGTTGTTGTTGTTGTCCTGCTGCATCCTCCCAAACCGATCATCCATGGGTGGCTTTTCTTGATGAGCTGCTTCCAGGTCGGAGCGGTGGGGGTGTTTCTCATTCTTCTGCTGGTCCGACGACAACGATGACAATTCAGGCTTTGCTGTTGCTGTTGCCGGTGTTAAGGAAGGTGGAACAACAGGCAAATGATCATGCCAAGTCGTTAACAGCCCCAGCCTTCCATCGTCCGTGGAAACATTGTCCACAGCAGCAGCAGTAGAGGCAGACGGATGCAAAGCGGAGATTGGCACCGGGATTTTAGGGTGGATGGTTCTTCTGCCCCTGGTTTTGGTTACCTCCACCATTTCTTCACGCGGAGGCACCTCTTCTTCTTTCTCTTCTTTCTTGAGTCCGCTATCGAGACCGTGATGCTGGTGATCGGACGCAGACAAAGTACCAGTAGGAAGGGAAGCAGCAGCAGTGCCAGTAGGCGTCAAAGTCAACCAACCCCCTGATCCAAGCTGGAATAATTGTTGCTTCAACTTTGGTTCATCATCAGCTGGCTGTTCGGGGACACCACGATGACGACGACGACGCAAACGAGCAACACCACCCGCTTGAAGACTTCTTCTTCTCAGGGCTGCTGCTGCTCCGTCATCGTTAGAAGAGGAAGTTGTATCCTGGTGATCTTGAACCGCAAACCCGCTAGCAGCCTGCATCCAATCTTCCGGCTTGTAACTGACTAGTTCCTCGGCACTGATTCCCTTGGGGACTGCGGTGCCCGCCAACTGCGGGACTACATGTCTGTTGGAGACATGGTAGGTTTTGTCTGTCTGAGTGGGGGTCATGCCGCGCCCGTTCAGTTCGTTATCGTTGTTGTTTTTATCGTCTGCTGCTGCTGATTTGAGAGAACGAAGTTCCATTGGAAGAACTTGTACGGTGCTACTATTTTGGTCCATGTCGAATTGGGGTTGTGCCTTTGTCATGTTAGTATCTCCTTCCCATTTCATTGTTATCAGGTGGTAGAGGTAGGTAAGGGGATGTGTAACTCACCTCACTCGAGCCATGTGCACCATGTGCACCCCTCATCTTGGCCTCCTCGATCCCCCCCTTCCCTTTCCCTACCACCTCCTTCCACCCCGGAATCACCACATACGCAATGAGGAGGTATCCAAATACCAGGAGAAGAAGAAAGCCGAAGAGGGTGGTGGCCAAGTTCTGCCGAGAGAAAGAAGATGACTGGGGAGCAGGACGATGCTCGGGCTCGGGGTGGTTATTACCATTACCACTACCACTAGCAGCAGTAGCTGGCGCTGCTGCTGATGCAGGAGGAGGAGGAGGAGGAGAAGAAGAAGAAGAAGAAGAAGAAGAAGAAGAAGATGGATTGGTTGAGGGAGGGGGACTAGTCAGGGGAGGAGGAGGAGGAGGAGGAGAAGGAGAACTGCTACTCGAAGGAGGAGAGGGAGAGGGAGGAGAAGAATTGGTCTGAGGGGGTGGGGGGTACGGGCTGTAACTTGGCGGCGGGTCCAAGCTGTCGTCGTGCTTGTTCATGTTGTCATGCTGGATCTTGTCGTTCATGTTGATGTCGTTGGAGTTCAGGTCGGAGGAGGACATGGAGGAGGACATGGAGGAGGCAGACGAGCTGGAGCCGGAAGGGGTGTAGATGCGATGCAATTCATGCATCTCCTCGGGTGGGGGGTCCACCATCCCGCCGATACCTTCTTGAGAATGGTCGTGGATGGGCTTGGTGGTGTGCAATGAATGTGTACTTGGTTGCTTGGTTCAGTGATGGATGGATAGAGAGTGTGGAAGAAAGAAAAATGAAAAAGTGGGTTGGGCTGCACTCTTATAAGTGTGCTTCGAGAGAGGGAGAGAGGGGGGAAAAGAAAGCCAAAGGGAGGACGGACAGCAGAGGGGAGAAGGGTGGCCTTTTGTACCGTGTTTTGTGCCCGTTGCTACCACCAACTTGGACACCTATGCCACGGATTTTCTTGGGGGAGGGACCGGCTTCGGACTTCCGGGCGGTAGACGTGATATATGTGAGGCGTGCCATGTTGGGACGATGTAGGCATGTACGTGGTGTTCACTAGAACCTGTTACTGACTGGTTTTTCCAAGGGCAGGCAGCTGTGTCTATACCCGTGTTATCTGAATGCACGTAGCTTTCTATGCCCGGTTTACTCACATACTATGGCAGATTACGACCCTATGGTTCGTGCTTGCATACATGGGACATGAAGATGCTTTGAGGCCAGGTGTCTTTTGGAGTAGGTCATTGTCTTCGGGCTTGGTTTGTAGCAACTTGACCCTGCAGCCTGGTTTTCACCGGTACTCGAGGTTCGTGGATGGAATGAAAGGGAGTAGTGTGCAGCCACTCGTGGTGCCAATGCCAGGCTTCGGTGGAAGAGTAGTTGGAGGGTGGTTGATTAGAAAGAGGAAGACTAAGACCAAAAGGCCCAGAAAGCCAACTAAATACCCCGCCAATACTTTGAACACCACCATTGCATGTTCCAAGTGGGTTGGTTGGTTAATCAGGCTAACTAACGGTTTACCACCGTGACCCACGGTTGAATACTGCAGGTCGTGGACTTCTGGTGATGGCTGGGGTATCGGTACTTACCTTCTCCTTCTCTGTTGCCTTTGGAAGGTGCCATGGCAAGGGCGTATGGATTCCGAACGATGCAGTCTGCAATATTTAACTGGTGGTCACGGTGAGGAACCGTTAGTTAACCTACCTAGGTAATCAACCAACCCACTCCCTTTATTCTACCCACGAACCGTGAGCAACGCTGGTGATGGAACCGGGCAGCTGCACCTTCACTGTGGGACTGTGGGACTGGACTTGGTTTTGCCTCCTCCAACTCAACCAACTTTCAGTTCCTTCCATGTTCCTGCTGGCGACTGACTGGCGTACATCTTATACCTGCATGATCCGCCTCGTATTGCTGAAGCCTCAGAGATACCCCGACAAACACTTGGACATTTCACGTGGGAGACACCTGGCTTCCGAGTGTGGAGGAGGTAATCAAGTTATTTCTTGTTCAGTTCCCCCTCCAAAACCTATACGCACCCTCTGCTACCAGCAAAGACCCAGAATTACGAAGCTACAAATATGATTCCGTAAACAATAAACATAAAATCAATCATCGTAGCCCATGCATGCAGTCTCAATTTCTAGTAATCTGGTCATTCCAAACTTCGCTGTTAGCATTGACAATGACCCCGAGTGACTTGTGAGGGAGAAAATTGATGTTAACGTGATTAAGAGCAATTCCATAGCCCTCATCTGTTTGGACGAAGTCCCTAAGCGTTGGTAAAGCTATTATTCAATGGCTTCAATCAAGACGGAACGTGTCTACTCTATCCTATGTTACTGGTGTCGGCCACCTACGTGACACTTTCAATCATCCATGTCCCCATTGACTAGGAATATCCCAAGAATACCCTCCACGTTGTATGTTGATGCATATATCGATGCATTGAGCTTGATGACTCTGTCCATAGAGCAACCATGACCAAGTAACCACCCGGGGGCAACCGAATGCAAGCGTCAGATCCTCCAAGGAATCGACGACAGCCCCCAAATACCTGACAACACACATAGGCCTCATTTCTCCTGTGCCCAAGATGCCCGCACACACACTTGCTTGACCATTTATTGCCCTGTTTCTCTCCCAACCATTTATTTCCTTGTAATGAAGCAATAATCCACACCCGGCCCGTTCTGTGCCCCACATTTTCCGACCGCTGCCGACTCTCTACCGCCCCCGATTCGGTCCGATCCAATTAACCATAGATTAGTCCATCAACTCCTGCATATAAACAAGTTTGTAATTTCTCAGATCAAAGACCGAGTTAAAGCGGATGACCTGGGAGAAGCGATAACGTCAGTCAGGAATGGATCAGGGCGCGGCCAAAGAACCGAAATAGACAAGCAAGAACGACCAAGTACTTAAAGCACACTTGGCCCTCACTGCCTGGCTCAAGCATGGTGACCAACATCGACAGTGGGACATAGCGCACAGCGCACAGCAATCAGCACGGACAGGGCCGACGGGGGCAGTAAACATTGGGGTAACAAATATAACTTACTGGACGCTCTCCCCTCTCTGCCATCTTCTCCAGCTCCAAGCTTGTTTCGCCAGCGGCCCTGCCCGCCAATGCAGCAGTATCGCCATTGCTTTGCCGCCCGGCCAATCCACCATTGCTTTCACTTCCATTGTCATTGCCAGTCCCATTCACCTCCTTCGAGAATTGCCAAACCTCCTTCAAAAGCTCAGCAACCCTGTTCAAATCACTCGCAATTCGCTCCTTCACCAGCTCTTTCAGTTGTTCTTCCCTTTGTCTTTCCACATTGGCGTCTGTCAGAGAAGTCGAGGACAAATCCTGCTGCCGCAAATGTGCCACCCACCTCCTCTGCAAAGCCTTCACCTCTTCCAAAGCCGCCGAGTAAAGCAGGTACATCCAAACATACGCCCCTGTATCCACGCTCGCAAGCTGGATTCTGCCAAAAATCCAGCCGACAGCTGAACAAGCCAGGTCTAGGAATTCTTGTCTTGTTGCTTCTGCTGATGTGCTTTGTTCTTCCCAGTTGTTGTTCTTGTTGCTTGGTGAGGCTGTTGAGGTTGAGTCATGTCGGAGTCCTCGTTGTTCCCACTCCTCCTCCATCTGCCGCCTCAATTCCACCAGCAGAGTCAAAACGGCCACCGTGGCGGTTGCATGATACGAGGTTCCGCTTCCGCGGCTTACCAGGGTCGTGAAGTCGTCCATTTGATGACGTTGCGCCGCTCCTTTCCCACAGCTTCCTCCTGTTTCTCTTTGGTTGCCTAGACCCGAAACAACACCCCTCCAGATTGTGCCGGCTGCTGCGCCGCAATATGTCCGAATTTCTGGCATTTCCACCTCCAAGCGTTTTACCAAGGCCAAGTTTAACCCCAGAAAAAACCGGTCCACTAACATCTCCGCCATCCGAAGCTGGAACGCAGAGATCCTATTCGGCAGGATGCCGGCAGGGTCGTAGCCCGGTTGAAGCGTGCCCGCTAGTGCACGCGATGCACTTATCAGTTCGGTGCTGAGAGACTTCGTCGTCGGTCCGGATTCGACTGCCGGGGGCTTTGTGTTGGGGGAGTTGAGAAGCGTGGCGAGATGTTGAGCGATAGCTAACCGCACAGGAAACGAACGGTGCAATTCGACAAGGATGGTCGTTTGCGTGAATGTCCCGGAGGGACGGGGACCCGAGCTCGAGGGGGCAAGCTGCTCGTCGTCGTAATTTGCCGGCGGGCTAGTATCGAATTCGGTGAGCGAGATACCCGGTGGAAGGCCGGTGTCCAAGCTCGATTGGACAAGCATTTCCAAAATGGTGGCCCATAATCGTCGACACAGTTCGGCTTGGTAAATGGGCATGGACGCGTCAGGATCCCGGTTTAGGCCTAGACACATGGCTTTTCGCAGCAGAGAACCGGCCGAGTTGTAGATTCCTTCACCCCCACTTCCGCCAAATCCGCAGACCTCTTTGGCGAGATGCAAAAGACACATAGTCTGCAACCCGGCAAGGTTCGTCGGCGGACAAAGGAGAAGCCACGACTGGCCTTCCTGAATCCATCTCTCCTGATACTTCCGCAGTGAACCGCCGGCATCCTCAAAGACCGACCCGATAGCCATGCAAAGCTGAAGCTGGACAAGGAAGGCCTTGGCGAGCTGGCCGTCAAGCTGACCACCAAAATACTCTCCAAACCGCGTCCAGAAGGTAGGCACGTGCAAAATGCGGTAGACGCTCTCGAAAGTGCGGAAGTAGGCTTCGGCTAGACGTTGGGCGTCTTGGCGGTACGACAGGGGGAGAATGCCGCCGATGTCGCTGAAGCCGAGGGGATGGATGCTTCCGGATTGTGCTTCCTCGATTTTCTGCGAGAGAAGGGTACATGTTCGGAGGTTGGTCAAGGCCTTGCCGTTATCGTTAGGTTCCTTGAAGACTTTGTAGCTGGCGCTAGTGACTAGTGGGAACTAGGTATCAAGCGACATATCAGTCTGGAGAGTCGTGGTGGTAACGCAAAAGCAAGTGCTCCATGGAGGAGGGCGGGAGAGGTACTACTCACGAGTTGGTTGATGGGCCAGCGATTATCGCCAGCCTGAGAGTTGGGTCTAAATTCCGGCAACGGCCTTTGTCCTGGTGGCAGTTGCTGCTGCTCCTGGTTCTGCTGTCGATGTGTCAACTCCTCGACCTGCTGTCGCAACATCCACACCTCCCTCCTCAATGCCTCAGTTCCCTCCGCATCAGACACCGGATGGGCATGACGAGGAAACGGACTGGAAGCCGACGATACGGGCGGCAGCCGGGGACTAGCTGATCCGCCGTCATACCCGTCCGAAGAAACAGACTCGGAGTCGCGATATGGTATATCCACAGTAGGCGGCGGCCCAGGCATGGAAGTCCTCTCTTCCGCCTTCACGACGGCATATGGCGCACCACCAATGTTCGGATCAACAGGCTGGATAGACGGTTGTTGTTGTTGTCGCTGTTGCGGTTCTGGCGAAGGAATTCTCGAATCTGCTTCGCCTGGCCACCTCTTTTCCTTGGGTAACCGACTCTTATCGTACCTGCAGGGACCCTTGATATATTTGGACTTGACGCAGCTTTCGCACGGCTTCTGTTTGTCGCATTTGATTTTGCGGCCTCTGCATGGGATGCATGAGACAGCGGGGCGGTTACGCCTCTTAGGTTGGCCCTGTCCCTGTCGGTTCGGTTGGTCCTGACGGGCCCGTTCCTGGCGGGCGGCATGGGATGGAATAGTGGTGATTGACGGGATTGCGATGCTGGGCGGCTGCGTAGATGCGGCAACAACGGAAAGGTACGCGTTGGTGTGGTGGGTGTTTAATAACGACGCCGGACCGGGCAGGGTGATTTGCTGTTGTTGATGTTGTTGTTGCGGGGTGGGATTGACAGCAGTGGGCGACGGCGTGAGTGCGGATGACGGCGACGGCTGGTACGAGGTTTGACTTGGAGGGGTTAGTCCGGGGACGTGGATGGGTTGCCATGGTGATGAGTGTTGATGTGGCGATTGTTGATATTGGTCTTGGTAGGGTGGGAAAGCCGTAATAGGTGGAAGTTGAGGTGGCGGCGGTGGTGGTGCTGCTGCTGCTGCAACGGCTTGGACGGGCGGCGTTAACGGACGGTTGGAGCTGTTGTTGTTGTTGTTGTTGGAGTTGTTGGTTGCCGGAGCTGGCGGCATTGGCAGGGTGTGGATTGGCGGCAATGGACCCCCCGAGTGGTCCGACTGCTGTGCCGCCGCTGGTGCCGGTGCCGGTGCCGGATCCGATGCCGGTGTGGATTCGATACCCTCCATCGGGACGGTCATTTTTGAACCCGTCAGTTGTTGAACTTGGTCATATCCGGATTCCGAACAATATCAAGCGGTAACCACAACAAGCCAGATAATTGCCTCTTGCTAACGATTTTCCTTCCCAGTTGCTGTGCTTGTTACCAAAACACACACACACAGGGGCTAGTCCGTTCCCTTTCTCGCCAGTTCCGCTCGAAGCACTCACTGCCTGGATGGCCGGATAGATGCCTCTTCAATATGCGCAATCAATTGACCTGGGGGAAAACCAGCTTTGCTCTCTTCTTTGTGGGCGGGATCTTGTTAATCTTGGATCGAGGAGGGATTGTGACAGTGATCAGCAGCAGCTTCCCCTGGTGGAGACTGTGCAGTGGCCCGTCTGTCTGCCAGGAACAGACGCACCCGAGATTGGCGACGACTGGGCACTGTTTGGATGAAGGGCCTGGACTGGACCCAACCCCAAGGACACACTCTCCAGGTCTTGTTCCTGGCTTGGCTGGCTGGCTGGCTAGCTAGCTAAGTGCCCTGGGAGAGACGTGTGCGACGACGTCGGACGTCGGATCCCGGAGGATGGAAAAGAAAAAAGAGAAGACAAGACGTGTGTACGTATGTGACCTGGGACGGAGAAAGGGGAGCGATTTGCAGAGAGAGAGAGAGAGAGAGAGATAGCCTGGGTTCGGATGATGGCGGGAACAAGGTACTTTCAGATGGAGTATTAATTGTCTCGGTCTCGGTACCAGGCACACGGGGCAGCCGGGGGCATCCGAGTCAGAGACAGAGTCAACGACTAATACAAAAAGGCAGCTAGCCCTACCAGGAAGATACCAAAAAGACACTGAAAGCTGCAACAAGGTGAATTGTACGGGATGTGAAATCAAAGGTGAGAAAAGAAGAGAAGGACCAAAATGGGCGATCGGAAAGGTAAGGTACTAAATACAAAGTCGATGCTCAATACAATGTACCCCGGGCCAACTTTCATGTACACCTACTATGTGTGTACTTGCACTTGCCGTGTCATGTCAGTCCGTCCCACGCAATCTCCCTTTCCCAATCCATTCCTTCCCTACATAGTTGATGCGTCTTCTCCGGTCGGCAGGCACTACAGTACTAGGAGAGGAAGATCCGAGGTAACCGGCGACACAAGAGGGCAGGAACTCTCTTATTGTCGACACTGACAGGCGGGCTGAAAAGAGGCCACCCAGTAGTAATTGCCCTTGGTGACCTGGACACTTACACTGCAGGAGACGGACCAGCCATTGGCGGATTGTATTAAGGTACCTTTGTACCTCCCATCCATTTCTAGAGGTTAGTACCACCGATCTCAAAGACTGGATGGACTGTGATATCTCCGTCCCCGATCAATCCCCTTCGGTTCGTCAGACACAGACACACCGGACGACGGATCGCGGGTCGGTCGCGGGTAGGGTCCCGTCTGGAATGCTGGAATGCGGGGGGAGCTGAAAGCCGACACACGCAGCTAATCACCGACCCTTTTCCCCTTTGAGATGTTCCCGAGGTCCAGAAAGGCGGAACTCATCCCGTTGTGTCTCCGTCAACTGTCAAGTCCGATAGACGTTGGATTTCACTCAGATACCACTTGGCAACGCTCCCGATTGATGCTCTTCTTACCAGGACCGCCCGGACTTGGATCCCTTCCCTTCACCGACAGGAGTTGCTTACCTCGAACCGCACCCAACTTTCAGTTCTCCGGTCCTACAAATTCCACTTTGAGACCACGATTGCCTTGCAGTAGTGCCCCAAGTGCACCTGCCATTCGGGGTCGTTACAAGAACAAGGCCGAGTTCGTTAGTCGCATACAGGGTACCTTAGGTACAGTACTGTACCTTGACATCACTCAACAGTGCACTCCTTTCAGGTTTGGTACCGTACTTGGTGAAGCTCGGGAAATTGGCAAAAAAGCTGTCGGTAGTATGTATGTAGCTAAGTCCAGAAAGCCCTCATTCCCACAGAGTCGGGTCCTGACGGACTGTACGAGGTGCAACGGGCAATCCAAGCCTGTGCTTTTTCCCATGAAACGCAGGTAAAATAATGGTTGGCAGTGTCACCTCATCCTTCTCATTTCAAGACGTTGCTTTGCCCAATTACCTTTTGGACAGGGTCCTGCGCGCGCCGATAACGCCACAAGATGATTGGCTAGAAACAGCGTGGGGATTCTAACTCGGATCCGAGTGAGAGGATGCGGTATTCAGCCATCATCAACTCGGCGCTCTCAAGGAGGGATCGATATCTGTTCTTCTATATTTCCCGGGTTTCCGTTCTACGGTAAGGAACGTTGCTGGGACAGGGCAACCTAATCGCAGTTGATCGCAATGATAAATCTGATGGCATCCATCTCACATGGATGGAATGTCAACAAAGAGAGCTGAGAGAGCCTCATCACGACCCTTTCATTACGTACACCACGAACTCATTACCCGATTTGGTCCAAATCCAATAATGTCCATTGTCCAGTCTCAGGTTTTAGTGGTACATACGTATTTCCGAGGAAAGCTGGTCCACGTGGTGGTCAGAGTCGCCGTTATCTCCGCCATCGTCCGTACACTAGTCTAGTGTAGTGTAGCTGGCGCTAGATATGCCCGCCCGCCCGCCCGCTGAGCCAGCCCACTAAAAGAAAAACACCCGCCAGAGCCCGTCAAAAATCCGTCCGATGCGCCCGGGAACGACCTGAACCCACCACGAACCCGACCGACTTCCGAGAATGAAGGGAATGAATGACAACGAAACTAAGTCCGTGCCTGTCTGTGGTGTGTAGTGTACAGATAATAATGCCGCCCGGCAGGAGTGACGTGACGTGACCTTTTCTTTCCACCTCAGCTGTTTTTTTGTTCCTAGGTCAGTCTTTTCGGCCTTTCTTTCACAAAGTCAGACGGACCGACGTATTCCAGGCAAATCCCCTCAATCGGATTGATTCCATTCATTTTCTCTCGTTGCCGTCTCCACTTAGTTCGCTCTTTTGCTGGCTCGCTCTCAACAACACGACACGAATTGTCCGACTGAGAATCTTCCAAGTCCCTCAGCCCATCCCATCAATGCGTGTCTGCGTGTTTACCTACTATCAAGGGACCCCTGAACGAGACGTGCGAAACAATCAATCAATCAGTCAAAAACAAGGCGAACGCAGCGCAACAAGGGAAAAAGTGAAAGAAAAAAAAAAAAGCGCAAAAAAGAGACAACTACAACAAAACAGGGTCCAATTTCGATTTCACGTGTACATTCCTAGTGTACATTCCTGCAGCGTAAGCACTGCATCACCCCAACCATTAGTTACCTTAGGTTCTCCGCATGCATTGCATCTGCATCTGCAGTGCAGCAAGCACGCGGACATACACTAGAATGAGGAGATTTGAGTTGAGGGATTCCGTAGAAGCCGAAAGGGCCGACGACCTACAGATGCTTAGTGTATGTAAAGCTATGTACCCCCTTGGTAAAAGCCGAATGAGATCACATGACAGGTTGTGGTTGTGGTTCGGACGGGAGTTTCCGAGCAACGAACTCTTTGATCTCATTGCGCATTGTTGTTGAACGAGGGAACGAACCAGCAGGCAGGCAGGCATTTCGATGGTGATGTTGTTCGAGCCCCGGGTTCTGGCCGAGGTGATGTGAATGTAATTGACGATTACCGAGACTCTCCCAGTGGGTTATTAGGTAGCCAATCACATTTGACCTTTTACCGATATCGCGAATTGACTTCAATGCTGGGAGTGTTCATGTCATTGTCCGCATCCGCGACCTCAATTCTCCTCTCGCAAGCCTACTGTCCTTTGGTATGTAGTCGGTTGCCAGACCGGAGGTAACAATTACACCATGTAGTATCGCAGGGCGGAACGGCTGAAATAGCCAAGATTGCCTTTTTGAAAAGGTCATATGACCAGTGCTACCTACCTAGTCAATTGGGCTTGTTTGGCGCTAGGAACATTCGACCCTGGTGAAAGAAAGGCAAGAGTGAAAGAAACAGATGGTGACAATCGTGAAAAGAAAAAAGAATGGATGCGAATATGTATAAGAGATCAGGAAAACGCAGAAAAAAGTAATAAACGCACAAACAAATGAATGGAAGACGAAGCCACGAAACGAACCTTACACCAAACTGAACAAACTCACTCCCTTCCCGGGCCTCGCCAATCTCACGGTTACTCTCACCAGGACTTCCATCTTGCAGTTTATCGCCATTCGCCAAGATCAAAAGCTTCCACTTCCCGTCACCCAAAACCTCTCGTCCTCAAAAACCACCACCCCTTTCTCGAATTCTCTAAAAGTTACCTACTCGGGTACAACCCCTGTAACCAAACAACGCCCGTGCCCGTCCAGTGCCCGTGCCCGCGCCCGTGCCACACCCACCCTCACGTACTTACCGGCTGAAACCACGCAAATCACAACGAGCGAGCGAGTGAGCCCGCCCAGCCCGGACCGGAGATAACAGCTGAGATCTCATCTCACTCCCCTCCAGTCCCATCCGGGCATCATCCCATTTGTGATCACTCACGGCGGGCGGGCGGCCCCCACCCCACTCAGTTACCGTAGCCCCACTCTTTTTATTTCCTTTCTCCGGCGATCCCGGGGCGTTTTTCAACGGTTTCGTCCGGATCTCGGTTTAGGTCCGGCGCCGCGGGCGGTCATGTGATTTCCATCGATCGAGTCCCGTCGTTTCTACGAGGTATGTACATAGTTCGTGATAGTCCGTACCTACGTATCAGCCGACCCGGATCAGGTAGGACGGACGTGACGGAGTTCCAAGTTCCTTGACTAACTACCTCTATGCACTCACTCACTTACTCACTCACGTACTCATTCACTCACTTATTCACTCACCCACCCACACTTACCAAATTACTCACTTACGCACGCAAGACAATAACAAACCCAGACAGGAAACCCAAAGTATCTACCTATCTACCGGGAAAGTCGAGAAACCGTCAAGGTACAGAAAACGACGGAAAGAAGGAGTATGTTAAAAGTTCAACTGCCAGTTACCTACCTACCTACCTAGTTGCATCATCTAAAACGCCCCCCCCCCCACCATCAATCACATAATGAGCATGTACATACCTCTAGGTAGGTAGGTACCGACATGATTGCGGGCATTTACGACGTACCGACGTACGTGTGCATGTGGTCGTGGTTATGTTATCAGAAACTCATTACTCACCCCTTTGCCTTTCTAATCCTCGTGGGTAGGTAGGTTACTAGGTAGGTACCAATTGCCAACTATTCGGGGTTTTCCAAGTACTATATATTCTACCTAGGTACCTAAGTATGTAGGTAATTGCCATTATTTGGAAAAGTTAGTTAGGTAGTCAGCCAGTTAGTTACCTAGGTAGCTACCTAGCCTACCAACAACGATGACAATGACGATAACTACCTACGTGCTGCAAGAGTGCCCGCTTAATGGTCGCTTGCTTGCCTACCTACCTACTTGCTTAGGTACTTGCTTGCTTGCTTGATTGCTTACTTGATTGCTTACTTGTTGGTTAGGTAAGTACCGACTGACGAAGACGAACGTTCGCCCGCCCGCCTGCCCCGGTCTCTCTGCCTCCGACTCCCCGACTCCCTCCCGGGATTCAGGATAAATGGATGGATGGATGTAAGGTTAAAGATGATGTCCGGCAACCATCTTACATCGGTAGGTACATACATACATACATACATACATACATACATACATACATACATACATGCATGCTTCCGGACAACGACGACGACTGTTGAAAGGAGTGATTGATTGTAATCATGAAAACGAAGGTGTGGCTACCTAACACCCGTTTGGGCTTCTTAAGTTCTGCCCGGTTTACTTTTTTGCAGGGAGAGTTTCGGCTCTGTCGAGTAGACTGTCTATACATTCGGTTGTTGTTGTTGTTGTTGTCATGTGTACCGTATTGACTCCCATCATGCAACCTTCAACCTCAACTTCACCCGCGGCCGACCGGTCGGTCAGGCTTTTATTAGAACAGTAGTATACTGTTCGTTTCGATTTATTTTCTCTCACTGTGGAATGTTGGAACCGACCTACCGACCGCCCGGGAGCGTTGGAATCATTTTGCATTTTGCATCTTGCATCTTCCACCTCGCATGATGCTTTCGTTGCGTTGCGTTTGCGCTGCATTTCACGTCCGAGTTGGTTCCCTTGCCTCAGTCAGTCGGTACTTGAGGTATCCATGCGTCATAACGAATTCCCCTCCACTCACCATGTTTTCGTTCTGTGCTGCAGTGACATTCATGCCAGCACGCCAGCCATGTACATATGTGCAGATGAGGTACCTACCTAAGCACATATCGATACATGTTGGTGGCAGTTGAGGCCTCCGGGTCTCCAGGCACATTCCGTTCGTACGGGAAGCTAGGTCGCTGAATGTACCTAGGTACCTACCTACCTACCCTGTGCCTCTGAGTCTAGAAGCCAGCGAGGAGGTGGGCGGGGGCATAGGACGGGGGAAAACGGAAAAGAAAGACGAGTTTGATTTGGTAGGTGTGGTGTACTTACTATGGTACATCACCACCTGCATGATGTATGGTTGGGGCAATCCGGATTCCAGGATAGACATGAATTGCAGGATTCGGAGTGTGCCACTTACTTTGAGAAACATCGATGCATGTGATTGTCGGTCGAAACTTTCAGAGGTGCCGACTGTGCTGAAATCCGGATTACCCGAGATTATACGGTACATAGGTAGGCAGGTGCTTTGTAATTGTAATATATTCTCATATTCGGCTTGGTAACGGATTCCGCTTCAGATGGAACTGATCAGGACGTAACAAAGTTGACCTGAGCTGCGCTGGGCTAATAGAGCTAAGCCGACATAGATGTAGAGGTGTGAGAAGCAATCGGGTAGTTTCCTACTAATACCTCAACACCATCCTAGCATGAGCAAACCATCAAGCAATAAGACCCGAACTACACCGTGTACAGGTGCTGAACAAACCCATCATCCGCCACGAGCCCTGACGTGAAAGCATGTGCTTGGTAACCAGCTAGTGGGAACTCATGTAGCACTTGGCTCACCCGGCTTACGCGATGGTTCCTCGCCATCCAAAAGTCCGACCAGCCGAAGTTCCTGCTTCAGAGGACTTTTTCGGGCATCTCTCCACCATCGGTTTGCCTTCCAAGCTGGAATGTCAAAAAGGAGAGAAGCTTCGGCGAACACGCCATGTTGGCCTTGCCTTCCCCGAATAAATCTGACGACCTCTTCTTCCTTCGCCTTGTACAGTCTCTGATCCTCACGTTGTCTCGACATTGCCGTCTGGAGACTATCCGCCCCTGGTTCGTCTGGCTGATCTAGGCCATATGCGGGCTGCCCGAGCTTGGGGAGCAAGTCCATCAAACTCTATTGATGTAAGCAACGGCTCTGGCTGAAACCATCTGGAGGCTGGACGGAGTTGTCGCTTTAGGTGGCCTATCCTACAAGGTTCGGCATATCACAGCGATAAAGAAGCCTAGTCGGCTCCAGCGAGGATGAATCATAAGGCTGGATATACTGTTTGGTGACAGGGAGCGGCTGTTGATACGTGTGCGCTGACTGTCCGAAAGGCAACGGTACGGTTGCTGATAAGTCTGAGCTGGCTGTCCCAAGGCTGGTGGCAACTCCCCGGCATAAGGAAAAGTCTAGCTGTTTTCTACCAAAGGTAACAAAGCACTGTGGTCATTGTTTTTCAAGCTAACGCAGAAGGCGAGCAACGCAGGAGTAGGGAGAGACGATAGGAAGGATAGGAAGAAGGAGAGAGGGCGAAGGTGGAAGAATCCGAAATGAGAAACGACCGAAAGAAGCTGGGAAGCAGGTGTCAGGCGAAAACAAAAGAAGTCAGTAGACGTGTAGCAGGGCAGCAGACCATCCGTGATAAAAATGAAGAAAGCGGACATCACGCACCGAAGACTGAGCGAGAAGAAAGATGGGGGGAAAAAAAGAGAAAAAGACAGGACGGAAGCAGTTGAAGCACGGCACAGCGAGAGTCCCTGATTCGGGCAGGTTGATGATGGGTGCTTAAGATCTCGGTAGTGACTGCCTTCAATCAGCAGTCATGCTCAAAGTAGGCAGGAACTCTTCCACACTGTTACCCGGCCTTGATGACAATCCAGCATGCTTTCAGGGAAGGAGCAGACGATGGACAATCTCATTTGACCAGGGCACTTGGCCCTAAGTACCTAGCAACTGAAGTCAACTGGTACCATCTGCCTCGGTCTGGAAGTTGGGCAGCCCGACACCTCGCTCCAGTCATGGAGGCAATCCTGGCATCACACTTATGATGCAGTGCCCCCTAGCCAGGACCTTTCCTCGCTTTGCCAAAGCAGAATCTGTCCGAATGCTTCTATCCAAATACCGTATCCTCAGCCGAGCCGCAAGTCTGCCAAAACATTGCGACTCCGACCAGATATATGACCGAATGGACAAATAGATTAGGGTACCATTCCCAAATCCCATGTCCAAAGTCCTCAAGTTGCCTAAACGATGCCGGGACTGAACTCATCTCTAACAAATGAAAAAGAAACAAAGATTTCCTGTATTTCCCGCACACCTCATGCTCGAGTTTTTGCTTATAAAAAGTGGGATCGAATCATTATACATATGGTGGTTGAGAGAGAACACAAACATGACACTGAATGGAACCTCCCAAAAGCTTTTGTAGCCTCAGCTCGCTTTTTTGTCAACCAACTGACTGACATTGTCATTCCATCACCTCTCTTCCTCCCATCCATCCTTCCATCCTTCCAATGCCTGCCCATTTCTATAAAATCTCATGCGCCGGCCTGCCGTGAACTTGGGGCCAAGGGACTGCTATCTAGTTTGCAGTCGCTCGATCCGTATAACTCCACTGAACGTCATCCAAAACAAAGAGCTATTCGCGCTTAAAGGAGGAGCTCGAGAGGGTTCTCAATGACCTTCTTCAACTCGCGGATCCACTCGGCACCGACAGCACCATCAACAACCTTGTGGTCGAAGCTGGCAGTGACAATGATCTGCTCATCCCAAGCGACACCGGTGGTGCCATCCTCGTTCTCAACAGGAACGGCAACCTTCTGGGTGGCGCCAACGGCAAGGATAGCGGCCTGGGGAGGGTTGATGATGGCGGTGAAGCTCTGGACGGCAGGGTTCATGCCCATGTTGGAGATGGAGATGCTGCCACCCTGGTACTCCTCGGGCTTGAGCTTGCCGTCGCGGGCCTTCTTGGCGAGCTCCTTGACGGCGGCCGAGATGCTCTCGAGACCCTTGCCCTCGACACCCTTGACGATGGGGGTGATGAGGCCGTTGGGGGTGGCGACGGCAACGGAAACGTCGACGGTCTCGAACTGGCGAATGACACCGTCGCGCCACGAGCTGTTGACGGTAGGGACGCGCTTGGAAGCAATACCCATGGCCTTGATGAGGAAGTCGTTGACGGAAAGCTTGTAGCGGCCATCAGCAGAGCTGTTGAGCGCCTGGCGGAGCTTGAGGAGCTTGCTGACGGAGAGGTTGGTGGAAACGAAGAAGTGGGGGTTCTCCGTGACGGACTCCTTCAAGCGGGCGGCAATAGTCTTGCGCATGCCAGAGATGGGGACATCAGTGTAGGCAGCGGCGGCGGCACCAGCAGCGGGAGCGCTAGCAAGAGCCTTCTTGACATCCTCCTCGGTGATCTTGCCACCGGGACCGGAGCCCTTGACGTTGCGCAGGTCGATGCCCTTCTCGCGAGCGAGTCTCTTGGCAGCGGGGAGAGCGTTGGGCTCGCGCTCGAGGGCAGTCTGGAAGCGGCCGGTGAAGCTGGTGTTCTCAGGCTCGGGAGCGGGAGTAGGAGCGGGGGTCGGGGCGCTGGCGGTGCTCTCGTTCTTGGGCTCATCCTTGGGGACAGCGGGGGAGGTCTCGCCGCCGGCATCCTTGAGGGTGAAGTCCTTGAAGGCGTTGACGTCGGTACCCTCCTCGACGAGAATGGCAATGGGCTAGAGAAGGTGGAAGAGGCATGGTCAGCATGGGTCGTCTGTCTAGATTAGGCGCGCACCAGCTAAGGCGACGCAGGGGCGTGTAGACGCTCAATGGCACCATGACATATCGCCCGACAGACGAGACACATGGCACGAGGCGCGCACGAGGCATAAAGGAAGAAGAGTGGATTCAGGGTCGAGTGGGGAAGACGGTCGGGATGGGAGGAGATGTGCATGGAGTCATGGAGTTGGAGTAGGTAGGGCTGGAGTGTGTGGCAGGTATGATGACTCGTGGCTCCAAAGGTAGTGTAGGTAGGTACTTACATTGCCAACGGCGACGTCCTTCTCGCCCGAGTCCTTGAGGATCTTGGCGAGGACACCCTCCTCCTGGAACTCAAAGTCCATCTGGGCCTTGTCGGTCTCGATCTCGACGAGCACCTCACCGGGCTCGATCTTGTCACCGGGCTTCTTCTGCCATGCGCCAATACCGCCCGAGGTCATGGTGGGCGAGAGGGCGGGCATCTTGACGACGGTGTGAGGGGGGTACGAGGCGTACCATCTTGTGAGGCTGGGGAGGGCGACACGGGCGACGCTGGCATGGCGGAGAGCCTGCCTTGAGAGGACGGGGACGATCATGGTGAGAGGTGTGATGTGAGGGTTGGGTGGTTGTGGTGGTGTTTTTTTTTTGAGAGAGGAGGTTGTGTTCAATTTGCTAGTATGGAATGTTTATGTGGGGATTCCAAACCAAGCTGGAGGAGCAGCACTCAGCAGCAGCAGTGGCAGCGGCAGCGGCAGGACCTTGGAGAGGGGAAAGGCCGACCGGGGGAGGGGGGCAGAGGGACGCGGGTTGGAGAAGCTGGCTTGTGCGGAGGCCGGGATGTCTGATTGATGGACGCGGATTCGCAGTAAGGCCAAGCCTGGGTGGTGTAAGTCGTCGACTGCGCGAGTCAGGTTGATGCGGAAAAAGAGTGGAAAAAGAACGGGAAGAGTGCAGGTTGGAAAGATGGAAGACTACGCGAGATGAGATTCGACCTGATGGACGGATCGATGTTTGTTTGGTCGTCGTGGAGAGCACAACAGAAAGATGACAGCGGGCAGCGGCGGGACACGGAGCCGGACTTCAATCGGCGACACTCGTGAACTTTTTTTTTTTTTTTTTTTTTTCTCCCTCTCTCTCCACTGCGGCGGTGGCATCACACTTTCTCACATCCCGTCACCAACCACACTCGCTCACCACTGACCACTGACCACTCACCACTCACTGCCCGCCCGCCTTGTGTCCCCTCACCTCAGCTCCTTGCTCTCTGCCCCTGCGATTGTTCTCCCAACAGTTGGGGGAAGCTCCCCCCAGCAGTTCCAGCGTAAGCAGGGCCCCCGCCGAGCCAAGGCCAGGCCATTTCAAGGCTAGCACGGCCTAGCAGCTGCCCGGTGCCCAAAGACAGGAGGCCAAGCTTTGAGAATCCCCCGGTTGCGCAACGGGGTGTAAATGACGCTAAGCCTAAAGGAGGTAGATGGATGATTGATTACTTGATGAGAGGTTGCAATCACGAACTGGAATTGACAAGCTGAGCTTTGGAGCAGTGGTGATATTGTACTTGAATATTTACATGTATGATTACCTAGGCAGACCTGAATCCCTCAAGTTAAGCAATGAACCACAGCGAGATGCGGACTCAAACAATTCTCCGATAAATAAAAGAGAGATGAAGTGCTGACCGTGACATCGGACTGGCAGCTGCACGGATCCACAACAGTTCGCGCTAAGGTACGGATTACGTTCTGCGGGCCGATCGGAGGATTTGATTGCGATGGAAACCGTCAACTCCAAGAGGACTGGACTCTGCAGTGATGTCAAAGGGACCCAATCCATAAGATATGCTGCAGAATGGCATACAATGACAGAATTGGACTGGTGATGACATTTCAGTTTTCATATGTGCAAGCAATCAGGAGCAGCTAACAACGGTCTCTTGTCATCAGTCTGAAGAGCTTCGTCTCCGAGTTGCCCTGATATCGTGTTGAGGAAGCTGAAAAGGCAGAGAACGTGATACGACTTGGTTATTGATTAAACTTCGCACGAGATATTCATGCCATCAAGACTCCAAACCTACAGTTGTGACACAGATTACAATTTCGCTTCCCTCCGATGGATGTGAAATATGTATGTCACGGATCGCCGGC